GACGCGTCCGAGGGGCGTGCGATGTGCGGCGATGTGCGTGTTGGGGGAGCGGTGGCGCAGTGGTTAGCGCTGCGATACAAACCCGACGGACCGAGTTCGATTCCCGCACGCGACCAACAAGAGCGGCGATGATTGTTAGAACCGGTCCCGGGGCACTGCCCCCGTGGTCGGCTCAGCCTTAAACGAGTGTCTGGTGCGGGCGGAGTGTGAGCACGGGCACTGTGGGGAGACAAAGGCGGCCGGGCGTGGTGTTGGGCCGACGCACCCAGACCCTCCGTGTGTGCCGTGCCCGCCTTCCTCAGTGCTCGCTGGCAGCACTTGCCCCAACAGTCTGCTGCTCGAGGCTATACGGGGGAGCTTTGCCTTTCGTGCTCTGCGTGTCTGCTGCGTGTGCGCGTGTTAAGGTTTGTCTTTGCCCGTCTCGTGTTGTATTGTCCGTCCGCGTATCTTCCCCTTCTTATCTCTCTGCCTTGCTCGCGAAGTTTCGTTCGCCCCGTTCGCCGTCTATTCACCATCCACTGCTGGATGAGCACCTGGCCCCCGACATGCGAGTCGTTTGCCTGAAGGCAGGAAGACGCGCCCCTTTGGGCGTTTGCAAAGGTTTCAGAGAATTAAAATCGAGTGTGCGCCACCCAATCCATCATTCCTCACGACGCATGCAAATGCGATGCAGACCGTGTTCGAAATATGACGATGGCGCTTAATGGTGTGGGCGGAAGAGCAGTATTGTATCAGCTGTGTAAACGAGACGCGGCTCCGTCGATAGAATCTTCGCGTGGATCCTGAGAATCTGATTCGCTGGGGCGTGAGGATTCTCACAGCCGGCCCCGGCAATGCCGGATTACGCCTCCCGTTATGTAACATCACCCCCCCACCTCCCCCCCCCACCCCATCCCCCACCTCCCCCCCACCTCCCCCCCCACCCACCTCCCCCCCCACCTCTCCCCTCCCCTCGAGGGGGGCGGGGGGGTTCCGCAGAGTGGAGGGGGGGTTAGCGAGCGAGTGGGAGGAGGGCATTGGGGGGGGATGGGATTGAGGGGAGGGGGGTGAAGAGGAGGATGAGAGGGATCAGGGGAGGGGGGTGGAAAGGGGGGGGGATAAGGGGAGGGTGTTTAAGAGGGATGAGGGGCGGGGGTGAGAGAGACATTAGGGGTGGGGGAGGGATGAAGAGGGGGGGGTGGGAGGGGTGAGAGGGGGATAAGAGGGATGAAGGGGGAGGGGTAAAGGGGGGTGAGGGGAGGGGTAAGACGGGGTGAGGGGGAGGCTAAAGGGGGGGTGAGGGGAGGGGTAAAGGGGGGTGAGAGGAGGGGTAAAGGGTGGTGAGGGGAGGGGTAAAGGGCGTTGAGGGGAGGGGTACAGGGGGGTAGGGGGGGGTAGTAAGTAAATAATTAAACAATGCTTGCCGCATTGCTGTATTTGCCGGAGCACGGCAACTGTACCCACTGCGTGCCGCGTACAGTAGAATACAATATCATTATAGCATTATACAATATATCACACACTTTACACGCAACACAGAGGGACATCAATACACATTTACCTTACAATCGTATGACAATAACTATACGTTATAATATACATCAGTCATTTGTAACAATTTAAATTTAATGTTTTAGATTCTGTACACAGATTTTTTTTTCATATATTTTTTTTCATTTTTGCAATTTATACTGTAGCTGCATTTTGCGCGTGTGTGTAACTTGCCATGAATCATTAAAAAACAGACCACGACGATTACAAATCCTGTCTCGTTCCTTCTCCATTGTCCCTCTCGTCTCCATTGTCTCTCTCGTCTCCATTGTCTCTCTCGTCCCCATTGTCTCTCTCGTCTCCATTGTCTCTCTCGTCCCCATTGTCTCTCTCGTCTCCATTGTCTCTCTCGTCTCCATTGTCTCTCTCGTCTCCATTGTCTCTCTCGTCTCCATTGTCTCTCTCGTCTCCATTGTCTCTCTCGTCTCCATTGTCTCTCTCGTCTCCATTGTCCCTCTCGTCTCCATTGTCCCTCTCGTCTCCATTGTCTCTCTCGTCTCCATTGTCTCTCTCGTCTCCATTGTCCCTCTCGTCCCCATTGTCTCTCTCCTCTCCATTGTCTCTCTCGTCTCCATTGTCTCTCTCGTCTCCATTGTCCGTTCTGAGTCGTGTTCTGCCCCGTCCCTTCTTTTAGTCGGAATGACTCATCAGCTCCTAAACGACGATGTATAGATCCACTCACATACACAGCCACTCACACACAGCCACACATACACAGCCACACACATATACAAGTATTTTTGCCGCTGTAAATTTGCACATGATAAGCCACTTCGTTTAGCTATCATTTGTGGCCAGGTCGCTTCTGAAAAAGACCTATATAACTCTGTGGGCATTACACTGGTAAAATACAAAAATAATAGCTTTAGTTTAGTTAGACTTATGTGCCAGGCGAGGTGAAGGTGGTCACAATACAGACCCAGGTGCCATGGGTTGACCGACTGAGATGACTGTCAGATGCACCACCTGTGCCACCCACTGTGCCTACTTGCTGCGCTTTAACCGCACGGCCCTCCGCTCGTTGTTGTGGGCGTCGCTCCTCTCTGCCTCCTCCACAGAGGTCGACTTTGACATGGCTGGTACCAGTCATCGGCAAGTCCATCCTCCTGTACCACATCAGTTCAACTCTTCTCGAGCCCGCGCTGCGCGCCCCTTTAACCCCCATCTATTCGGCCAAACAGAAGCTGCTTGGGCATGCGGTGGCTCTGCATGCGGGCTACATGACCCAGCCAACGCAGCCTCGCCTTTTAGAGTAGCTCACCGATGGGGCCGTCTCCAGCCAGATCCTTCAAGGATCTGTGAGCTACTGTAATCCAGCGTGGTTAATCCCAGGATGCCTGGATGGATTTTAGGCGCACAGAGTTATAACGAAGACAAAGATCCCCCTTCAACAGGATTCTGGGGCAAGTGCTGTTAGCGAGCACCTATTGAAGGCCATCACGACGCGCGAGGGGGTGGGTGGCAGGCACCCAAGTGGCGATGTTCACACACACCACACCAGGTACTCATTTAAGGCTGAGTCGACCTATGGATAAACCCAGAACCGGTTCAGATAATCGTCACCGGTGTTGGTCGTGAGCAGGAATGGAACTCGGCTCGCCGGTTTCGTAGTGGCAGTGCGTCAACCACTGCACTAGCGTCCCACCACACAGGCAGATGCACACACACACACATCACAGACTTGGTTGTATGTACGTATTTTAAACTTCTTCAGCACCGTACGTAACCAACCGTGCTAATCGGAGGTGCGGTTCACAGTGAGGAATCTCAGCGGGGCCCTCGCCTGGTTAAATCAAGGACCTCGGGTGCAATCACCTCGTGAAATGGGATTGTCTCGTGCAAAGCCTTTGGCGTGAGGGCCGCGGCGAGATGGATGTGATGGAGGTGGGTGTGTAGCAGGCTTTGGGGACAAGGGATTAATCAGGGGACAGCGGTGTTTGTGGTGTACACAGAGCCCAAGCTACTGTACGTGCATGCCTCTTTCACCCCCTCCCTCCCTCCCCGACTCACATCGATATATTTAGCTCGAGGATTAATATTGGCTCTTCACCACCACGATCGTCTCTGCCATAGGGGGTTTAGAAACGTGTGGGCACGAGGGGATAGCGTGTTGAGTTGAAGTGAGGAACCCGTCATTGTTTTCATCATGATCAAGATCATGTTGAAGTTCTGTGCAAAACTAGCTGCTACTGGCCAAGATGAATTAGATAATATATCGAAATTGGACAAAAAAAACGTTCGAATAGCTCCCGACTCCGTGCTGCGTGGAAGCGAATCATCAAACAATACATTGGTTAAATGTATGCCTATACAGGCCACCATACTTCAATAGAAATTACCGTTGGCACGGCTATTTTAATACACACAATGGACAGGAAGGACAAGATGAATGGGCCCGCATAATGCGCATGCATAATGTACGTTGACTCATCAAGAGTGCACAAGCGTGGTCACCACATCTACGCCTCTATATGAATCATAGTACCCCGGCTCTCGCACGATGTCTGTGATGCAGTCATGTTTAGTCTGTTGATGGTCGGCGATGCGGCAATCGACTCATCTCGACGAGCTGTGCACGATGCACCACCACGGTGCCACGTGCGAGCGTTCAGGGTTTCGGCGCAATCGTCCTTGCTGCGTTTCGACATCGCGGAGAGTGGCACCAATTTCGGACTGATTGGTACCCCAGTCGCGGAGTAAAGTACACCCCTGGGAAAAATATTGTCCCAGAAATAAAATATTTAATTGCCTCGGCCAGTTTGTATTATTTAGTACCCCGGGGTTCCGCCATATGAATCATATAAGGAACGAAACACAAATGTGGCTGTCGCCTGATGAAGCTGGTTGCAATTACTGGCGAAACGTCGTACTCAGTTTGTAAATGTTGTGGCTTGGCTCTCCAACACACCAGTGTTGCTGTACTAGTGACGAATTGGCACGTTCTGTTTACGTGACAACCCCTTACTAATTGGCTGTGTCGGGTGGTGGCGGGTTTTAACGGCACATTTATATATTTACCCGATTTAACCCAAAAAAAACTCTTATGGATGATATTGGTCGCGAAAGCCTACGAGTTAAAATGATCAACATCATCTTCAATTTACACCATTGGAACCTCATTTTCAGTAAAAAATATGATAATTGGTGTTTTACCCTTCTATCTGGCAACAAAACTGACACCTTTTTTTACAAGGAGTCATGTTTGCATAGACCACAATACCTGCAGTCATAATGCAAACAAAAAACATAACTCTGATAATGTATGCACTGTCCTTGAAGTTGATTGGTCCACACCCGAGACAGCTTTCCTTAGAGCCTAGTCTCACATGGTGTTGGACCAGATGACGCCAAAAAGCGCACAACTCAAACACAATGCACCATCAGAGTATGAGAGCTCGGGGTAAGCATTTTAACTTGCCCCTGACTTGTCTGCTCCAGGCTATAGGTGGGTGACCTTTGTCTTTGTGCAGCTCTGATCCTGCTCTTCTACCTCGTGTTCTACGGCTTCCTGGCCGGCCTCTTCTCGCTCACCATGTGGGTGCTGCTGCAGACCACCAACGAGTTCCGCCCCAAATACCTCGACCGCGTCCCCTCGCCCGGTACCAGCAGTGCACACGCAGTACACGCAGCACACAGTACACGCAGTGCACACACAGTACACGCAGCACACAGTACACGCAGCACACAGTACACGCAGTGCACAAATTGTTGGGGCAAGTGCTGTTAGCGAGCACCTATGAAGGCCGTAACGGCACACGAGGGGGTGGGTGGCCAGCACCATCCCCGGCCGCCTTTGTCTCCCCAGTGGCCATGTTTTTACACACTGCACCACGTGCTCATTTGCGGCTGAGTCGACCTAGGGGAAGCCCAGGACCGGCACAGATAATCGTCACTTGTATCGGCCGTGAGCGGGAATCGAACTCGGGTCGCCGGGGTTTCGCAGCGAGGCGTAGCGCTAACCGCTACACCACCGCTCCCATTATGCACACACACACACATCCACACGTAGGTGCACGCGCACACACACACACACACATCCACACGTAGGTGCACGCGCACACACACACACACATCCACACGTAGGTGCACGCACACACACACACACATCCACACGTAGGTGCACGCACACACACACACATCCACACGTAGGTGCACGCACACACACACACATCCACACGTAGGTGCACGCACACACACACACATCCACACGTAGGTGCACGCACACACACACACACACATCCACACGTAGGTGCACGCGCACACACACACACATCCACACGTAGGTGCACGCACACACACACACATCCACACGTAGGTGCACGCGCACACACACACACACATTCACACGTAGGTGCACGCACACACACACACACACATCCACACGTAGGTGCCCGCGCACACACACACACACATCCACACGTAGGTGCACGCACACACACACACATCCACACGTAGGTGCACGCACACACACACATCCACACGTAGGTGCACGCGCACACACACACACACATCCACACGTAGGTGCACGCACACACACACACACATCCACACGTAGGTGCACGCACACACACACACATCCACACGTAGGTGCACGCACACACACACACATCCACACGTAGGTGCACGCACACACACACACATCCACACGTAGGTGCACGCACACACACACACATCCATCCACACGTAGGTGCACGCGCACACACACACACACATCCACACGTAGGTGCACGCACACACACACACACACATCCACACGTAGGTGCACGCGCACACACACACATCCACACGTAGGTGCACGCGCACACACACACATCCACACGTAGGTGCACGCGCACACACACACACGTGCATACACGGGCAGTTTCCTACCGTCGTGCATATTTAACGGGGCCCCATGCATTATGCAGCACGGTGCAATCTGTGGGGCTCGGAGTCGTGACGCTTCATGAGGCTCTTAGTGTGGATCATGTGACGCACACTGCCACACACCTACAGACACACAAAGGTCCCCGTATAGCCTGGGCAAGCTGTTGGGGTACCTGGAGCACCTTTGAAGGCTGACACGGCACACGAGGGGCTGGGTGGCCCGGCCGCCTTTGTCTCCCCAGTGGCGATACTTTACACACCTCACCAGGCACTCATTTGAGTCTGAGTAGACCTAGGGGAGGCCTAGGACCGGTTCATATAATCGTCACTGGTGTTAATCGAACTTAGGTCGCCATGTTCATAGTGCAGGACGCTAACCACGACATTGCCGCTCCGCACACACACGCAGGTACAGGCAGCCACAGACACTACACGCACACATACGCGCGTGTGTGCGTGTGCAGTAGTGCAGTGCCTATCCCACTGCACTACAAACCCGGCGGCCCAAGTTCGATTCCCACTCACGGCCACCCACCAACACCATCGGCGATTGTCTGAACCGGTCCCGGGCCTCCCCCCCAGGTTAACGAAGGCGGCTCGGCGTGGTGCTGGCAACCCAACGCCCTCCGCGTGCCGTGCCGACCGTCACAGGCGGTCGCTCCCCCCCCCCCCCCCCCCCAGCGGCGCTTGCCCCGACTTTGTGAAGAGGCTATGAGGGGCATCTTTGTCTTTTTGTGTCTTAACACCAGGGCTGATGATCCGACCTCAGGCGGACACCCTGGACATCAAATTCAAGCCGACGCAGAACAGCTCCTTCCTGCAATACGTCACCGCCCTCAACGACTTCCTGTTGCGTGAGTGACCTCCAGCGCCGTCACGCTCGCCGCCACCGCCGTCGTGGCGAAGCGTGGTCCAGGGACCCCACCACCCGCCCCCAACAATGATGACAACAGCAGCACCCCGCCATCTAGTGGTGGCGACGTCACAACGGCGTCCCTTGCTAGGCCAGGTGCACTTTGAGGCCACGTGACGTATCGAAGGTTGACAGGAGGCCACGTGACGTGTCGAAGGTTGACAGGAGGCCACGTGACGTGTCGAAGGCTCGCTGCTGACAGGAGGCCACGTGACGTGTCGGAGGTTGACAGGAGGCCACGGGACAGGCCCGGGACAAGGGACTGAACACAAAAAGCGAAACGCGAGCGGCGAACCCGCTTCCGCCACCCCGCGTCGTCGCCGATGATGTTTCTGTCGTGGTCGTCTTGGCGGTGCGTCCACAGCGTACAGCGATGTTGTTGTTGTTGTCTTGGCGGTGCGTACGCAGTGTATCACCGATGTCATCGTTGTTGTTGTTGTTGTCTTGGCGGTGCGTGCACAGCGTACAACGAGGGGAACCAGACGGCGCGGAACCTGAACTGCACGCCGGGGCGCTACCACTTCCAGAACGACACAGACGAAGTGCGCAACTACCCCAAGACGTCGTGCCGCTTCCTGCGCGCGTCGCTCGGCGAGTGCTCGGGCCTCGTGGACTCGAGCTACGGCTACAGCTCCGGCACGCCCTGCGTCATCCTCAAGATGAACCGGGTACGCGCAGAGTCATCATCACCACACCAGCGACCGCGAACGCCGTCATCTTTGTCGTCATCACCGTCGTCATCATCGTCATCATCATCGTCATCATCGTCATCATTACTATCATCGTCGTTTTTCCGTGGCAGCCCCCACCGTCCCGAGCGCGCCCATCATCCCGCTGGACCAGCAGCAGTGTTCAATCTACGACGACTTCTAAGAGATGCTTAAACTAAACTCAACGAAAACTATACTAATAGGGTTTTTCCCCTTTTTTTCTGGCAACAAAACTGACACCTTTTGCAAGGAATCATGTCTACATTAACTGCAATACTTGCAGTCAAATGCAAACAAAAACAATACTCTGGTAATTTATGCATTGTCTTTGAAACTGATTGGTCCACACCAGAGACAGCTTTCTTTGGAGCCTCGTCTCATATGGTGTTCGACCAGATGACGACAAAAGGCACACAGTTCAAGACAACGCACTACCAGAGTAATGAGGGCTCGGGGTAAGCAGCTACATCATTACTCTGGTAGTGCGTTGTCTTAAACTGTGCGCCTTTTGTCGTCATCTGGTCGAACACCATATGAGACGAGGCTCCAAAGAAAGCTGTCTCTGGTGTGGACCAATCAGTTTCAAAGACAATGCATAAATTACCAGAGTATTGTTTTTGTTTTCATTTGACTGCAAGTATTGCGGTTAATGTAGACATGATTCCTTGCAAAAGGTGTCAGTTTTGTTGCCAGAAAAAAGGGGAAAAACCCTATTAGTAACTTTTGGTACTGGCAAAGGAGGTCCCATGATATAAACGAAAACTATAAACTATTTTTTTGCTTAACCAGGTAAGGCCTGGCGATCACAAATGCTAGCTTCAACGAAGTGGCTTATTGTGTGGACATTGTTGATTCTAAACGTGGAGGGAAAAATCGGAGGACCCGCACAAAAATCCACGCGACCACAGGGAGAGAAACTCGCAAACTCCAAATATACAGCAGCAGCAGGCGTCGGGGTCGGGGTCGAACCCACGGCCTCCTGTACACCAGGCGAGGTAGTTAACATCTCCTCGCCACCGCGGTGCCCTAAAGGAGGCCCCACCTCTTTTTTAAAGGCCCTCTCCACCTCGTTCGCTCCGGCTTTCAAGCGAAACCGAGCTTGGCTCCGTGCCTCAGAGGTGGTGCGATCATCATTAATGCCGTCACCTTTGTTGTCATCGTTGTCATCATCGTCGTGGTCATCATCACCACCATCATCTTAATCATCGCGGCATTCCTAAGTTGTCCTTCCCCCCGCACCTCCGATTAGCACAGCTGGCTGCGTACGGCGTAAAATAAGTTCGACATACACACGTACGATTCAGATCTGGATATGCGTTAATTTATCCGCACGCGCAATGAAGGGGACAACTTGGCCCAAATGCTTTTCCTCTGCTGCCCGAGAGAGGCCGGAGCGAGAGATGGCGGTGCTGCTGGACTTCGTAGCTCACATCGAGGGAGACACACAGGGCGGAATGCAACGTGGGAATTGATCAATAACGTCGGTGTCATTGAAGATCGATGACCGGCAGCTCGGTGGAGGATGTCCGGTGTTTGCGGTCGGATGATGAAAAGCAACCGGGCTTTACTCTGTAAATCTAGAGAGCAAAGTCGATCTATTTTGATATCAAGGTATCCCAAACCATCGTTGAGTACTGGCACAGTGGCTGTTATGGTTCTACTACAACCAGATCTGGACTGCGATTGTTCAGGATTTGATATCTCGTAGGTCTCTACAGGAATTAACCAAAGTGTTTGTTTTAGCGGATTGTATACTAGCCTGCAATTGTTTGGGTGACTTGGAGTGACTCGAGGAGTGTGAGATCATCAGTCAACACTTGCTGTGTGTGTCCGCGTGCGTATGTGTCTGTGTGTTCCTGCCCTGCAGATTATCAGCTATTACCCCAACGACAACGCCGAACCGCTGAGGGTGAACTGCACCGGCAAGGTCAGAGGTTAAACTGACTCAGAGGTCATTTGATCCGGATGGAATTTGTTCAGTTTCAGACTCAGTTACCATCCCAGCCGTTGTAAATGTGATCGTTATTCACTACGTGTATTGTTGGAATCGTTCTTTCGAAGGAAAAGTAAAAACATTGTCCGTTTATCGCTGCTCGGTCGCTCATAATGCCTCCTCTGCAGTGTTCTACTTTGACAAAAGCGTCTCCACCGCGTTTCCTGTTTCACTTCCAGCCTTCCGTAGTGAACGTCCGTGGTTCTCTTCAGCGTTTGCGTCTGCCCCCCAACCCGTTCCCGAGTGTTTTCCGTTTGCCCTCGAGAACGACGAGCCCTTACGATTGCCTCCGTGTACGATTTCATTTCTTTTCCTCGTCAATTCTGAACTCTCTGTGTGCCTTGTCTTTCTGACTGCCGTCTGTGCGACTGCGTGCGACTGCGTGCGTGTGCGCGCGTAACCGTGCACGAGCGACCGTCTGCGCGTGCATGTGCTCACCGTGTGTGCATGCGCGTGCGTGTGTGCGTGCGTGCGTGCGTCTCTCTCCCGCCCGAGCACGCGTGCGCACGCATTGAACCCCTCCCACCCCCAACTCCTGCATGCGTGCACGTGCGTCCACGTGTGTGTGTACGCGTGCGTACGTGGGCGCGCGTTCGTGTGCGACCTCGTTTCTTTTTTGGGTTACGTTCTCTTCCCCCCCGCGTGGCACAGAGACACAGAATCAACAAGGACGAGTGGGTAAGGCGGCCTTGATGCCTGAGCCCGGTGTGAACTTGCGGTGACTTCTATGCATTGACCCCTCCCGCCCCCTTATTGCGCTGACCTTCGGGTGGTTTGCGGTGCACGGCAACTGGCTAGTGCGGAAATAAGCGTTCGACCGCGCACCCCCTCCCCCCCCCACCCACTCCCCCACCGCCACAAAATCGAGATCAGAGATCGTGGTCAAATCAAGGCCTCTCCACCACCCTCCCCCAACTTCTCAAGCCCACTCCCCCACCCCCCCCCCTTTTTGCAAAGTGTACCCATAAAAGAGTAAACGAGGAAGAGGCAACTGTTTTAGTAACTTGCGTCGTCGTTACATGTTGCGAATTTAAAGTGGTTAAAGCTGCCCTCGGTCACGCGCGAGCGGAACGTGGAACAGCGACCACAGAGGCGGAGGGATCGGCCTTGCAGCTCGGAGAAGGCATTCGGATTAGAGCCCGCGCCCGCCGATTATTATGAGTGTTGTTGTCATTCAAGCAATCGATCACGCTGCCGATTACCGGTGTCATCGCTCGACTAATCGGACAAGACGGTAAAAATTTGTGTCGGGGGAGGGTGGTAAATTTTCCCACGTGTGCCGCTGGACGGAAGGTGATGGGGCAGGGTGAGGCTCGTAAAAGGGGGGGGGGGTTTCCCGTCTTAAAGTAATCGACCCCCCTCCCAAAAAAAAAGTTATCGCTTATAAACTTCAAGTCGATCAATTGACTTGGATCAAACGAGTCGATCGCAGCCGGACAACAACAAGGGTGAGCCGTGGTCACGCCCACTCGCACGAGCGATGGCTTCGTGAGTTCTGATTGGACGACGCTTCGCTCGAGGGGAGGGGCTTTCCGTGGCCATAACGATGCAACCACCACTGAGCAGCAGGTCCTCTTTTTGGGTGCACTTTGTGAAAGGATCTCGCTGGTTAAGGCTCCTCCCCCCTGTAGTACCACCTTCAGTCAGGGATTTAATTTCTCACCGAATGACTACCCCCCCCCCCCCCCCCCCGAGTAGATGGTAGGCCCGAGTAGGTGGCTCTCGTGAACCAGTAGCCACGGTCGTAGCCGAGGAGTACACTCGATTTGGCGTGCCGGGATGTGGAAATATGTCCCTTGTCGCTGACCTGGACAAGACCTCCGACTTAAATTAAGCCCCGAATGTAGATCATGTATTTGGCGCCCTCATCGATTGTCGTAGAGTACATTCGCCATCCATAACACCGAACAATGACTACGGACGTGTGAGTGTACATATGGGCCCAGTGTTGATTCACACATTTACCGTGATACCACGGAGTGGTGTTGGAATAGCGAGATGGTGGCTGGCTCTAGATTCGCACATGGTGTCGGTGTTAAATACATTACACAGGCAATCGCAACAGCCCTAGCGTACACACCCATGATTCTCTATCTAAAGAAAACCATTAAAGTGCATGTTATTGATAGTACTGAATATTAATTAATACAGACTCTCTAATTGGTATGTTGAACTGCTTTCGCACCGTACGTAGCCAACTGCTAAATCGGAGGTGCGAGGGGGGACAACAGACTAACCACTAAAAGCAGTTGTAAAGAAATGAGTTTTCAATCTAGATGTAAAAGTGCACAGCTGATCCCAGTGGCGTCACTAATAACCATATTTGACTATACGCCGTTTTTAGTTTCATTGGAACTCATCAGCAGAGCGTAGCCAAACACCAAAGGGACAAATTCACATTCCACCCATTTTTCGCCCGAGGGAAAAGTTGGGTGCAGCAAACGCAAATTTGGTTATTGCTGCAATCTCTTTAGGTTGGCGCCTCAAATATGACCGCTTCAGTGCTTCCACAACATTTTAAAATGATGAACACCTCCGCGAAAGAAGTTCAATATACGCACATACATACCTGTGTTTACGGAGGCCTTCATCTAGCAGTGGATTTACAAAAAAGGGCTCTACGTGTACATTTCGTAGGAAGTTGGCAGTGGTGCGGTCTTGAACCCCTCGACCATAGGAACGTGGAATTTCCCACCGCCGAGTGCTCGTTTGATCGGCGAAAGAAGATTTGACTTCAGGCTCTCTGATGATGAATTACGTCTCACTGCTTCTGACAAAAGCCACACGGATTGCGAACGTTGGGTGATCGAATGCGGTTGGGGTGCATGTATGGTTGTCACCTGTCCTGCTTTTCTCAGGATCACCCTGGGAAATGTGTAAGTCTTCACCCAGTAACCATGCCAACGTTCGGCCGACTTTGGCATGTGGCTGGAACTGTTGGACCAACGTTGGCCCAACAGCGTTGCACGTTTACTGGGCACAGACCGCGAGAATTATGGTACTCACTATGAATTACACCGCCAACGTTGTTTCGTCTCAGATACGGTGCACAACGGCGCTAAGTCTCACACTGCTGCTCGTCTTGTCACAGTACCAGTAAAAGCGTATATGAGCGGTACTCCGCTGTCTCCACGTTTACAACATGTTTACGACGAGTTTGTGCACAGCTCCGGTAAAATGCTCTCTACGCAGTCACTTAAAGTCCATTCAGAGCACCGAGTGGCAACATAAGGTAGGGTGGAGTAAGAGGCCTACATGGGTTGAAGGCCTCTTTTGTCCTGGTGCTGACAGAAATTGTGTCATCAGCCATGATCGGCTTGAGGTGCGGATTGGCGTCCTCTTTGAGAGGCCCCTGCTGCTGCTGGTGTCTGCAGCTCAACAGGGACAACCACACATGGGCACCAGGACAAAAATGCCTTTTATCCCACGTAGGCCTCTAACCTCACCCTACTGCACAGATTGGATGCTGAACGCAGTTGTCCCTGGCAAGTTCAGGTGCCAGGTTTCAGGCCACAAACCAGTTCATTAGAAGTGCCTCCCACACCCCACCACACCGATCTTTCCTTTTACACTTTAATAATATGCAAAAAAATAAGTGCATCTGATAATACAAAAAAACAGTACAATATTGTGAGAAATTATATATTCCCATTCATTCGCCCCGGTTTTCTCGTACATCACAGGTGGCAACCGTATGTGCACAGATTTAGTGGCTGGCCACTCTGGTGACCGCCATGTTGTTGGGCTTGAATGAGGTCGTCATTTTTTAAAGCAGCCATCTTGGTGTCCATCTCGTGACACCAAAATGGCGGCACGAGATGGAGGCTCCTCTGCGTTGACGTTGATCGCTGCTGCTGCACCGTGGCTTCTTACGACTGTAAATGAAAACGCCGATCGATGGATGCGCGCCTGCTGCCTGATTCACTCACTCCCACATCGTCGCGGCCCAGTCAACATTATCGTCATCTTGAGCATTTTCATCACCCCCATGACCTTTTATCATGTAAATGATCAACTTGTATCATTACCCTCGTGGGTCCGGCATAATTGTAACCGAGTCGGCTCTCGGTTGTCTTGGGGTAATCGCGGTTGGGGAGGGGAAGGCGAGGTCCTGATCAATGCACAAACGCGGACAAAAATGCTGAACACACGTAAATGAGGCGGTGAACACGTGTTCAGCGCTCACCTACCTACGTTTAGTGGGGGGTGAACATTGTAGGAGCCTCATGATTGCGGGAAACGCGTTAAAGTAAATCGCTACCCGGCGAGACACAACATGCTCAACCAGGATAAAATACCACACACGCTGCAATTCACCTAACCCATTTCGTCGAATAATCGTCATATTTCGTGTTATAGTCTCTGAAAGCAATGAGTCACCCTTTCTTTCGCCTCACTTTTGGATCTCCTTTTGCGTACCATTTTTTTAAACGATTTCTTTTAAAATGTTATCGCCGCACGTATACTCACAGTGAGCATCTCAACTTTTGTCGAACGTTGGGATGCAGTTTTCTGGCTAAATTCCGACGCGGGTTTTCATTATTCACGTGGGCACCGAGTTACTGTCCCTCGACGATTCAGGGGCAGACAAAATCCGTGTGGCACGGATGGGGATAGAATATTCCCTATTCTTGTGTTGATTTATGTTTTGGCAAGTGCTGTTAACACACCACCCGGGTAATGTATTCCGCCCGCAGAAAACCGAGAGTTACCTCTGCTTGTTTCTTCCACATCTCAGAAAACGTGCAACGTTGGGCCAATGCTCGCGTGTAGTTATAACCGTTGTACCAACGTTGACCCAACGTTCCCTGTTGAATGGGATTATCATAATCGTCATAGCACTCATTCCACATTTTATGATTTATATCCCACTTCATAGTTAACATCCTCGTCTTGGTTATCCTCAAACACGTACCATTATCACCACAATCATCTCCTGAAACGCCATCGTCTAGATCAAAGCAATCGCCTCCATCATCTCAAGCTTTCACATCATTTTGACTATAATCACAATAATATATAAACTACTATATTATGACTTCCATCGTCGCAATTACTTTTGACTAGAACGTAGTAGATTTCAACATCTTCATCACATGCTACCTATCATCATCATCGTCACTAATAACCTCACAGTCGCCGTCAGTCGCCCTCTCCGCGTGCTAATAGTTTATCTCTCTGTGCTCGTGTCTGTACCTCTGTGCACCCCCTGTACTCCCCTTGTACTCTCCCTGTGTACTCTCTCCCCATCTACTCTCTCCTCATTTACTCTGATGAGGGTGCTCTATCCCTATGTACTCTCTCCCCCCGTTTATTCTTCCCCGTGTGCTCTACTCGTGTATTCCTTCCATGTACCCTCCCATGCACACTCTCTCCCATCTACTTACTCTCCACGTGTACTCTCTCTCCCCCCGTGTACTCTTGCTGTGCACTCTCTATCCCCGTGTACTCTCCACGTGTACTCTCTCTCTCCACGTAAACTCTCCATGTGCACTCTCTCCCCGTGAACTTTCCACGTCACTCTCTCTCTCCGCGTGTACTTTCCACGTGTACTCTCTCTCTCCCCGTGTACTCTCCACGTGCACTCTCTTTCCCCGTATACTCTCCACGTGCACTCTCTCCCCCCCCCCCCCCGTGTACTCTCCACGTGTACTCTCCTCTCCCCCGTGTACTCTCCCCCCGTGTACTCCCCCGCACACAGCGTGACGACACTGAGAAAGTCGGGCCTCTCCGGTACTTCCCAGTCAACGGGACCTTTGACCCCATGTACTTCCCGTACTACGGCAAGAAGGCGCACGTGAGTACCGCGGTGGTTGTTGTGGTGGTGGTGGGTGTGCCGGTGAAGTACATGCAGCCCGTGGTTGTTGATGGTAGTTGTTGTGGTGGTTGTTTTGCAGGTGAACTCACGTATCCCGTGGTTGTTGATGGTGGTGGCTGTGATAATCGCTTGTCACATACAGCTCTCTCTGCCCACTACAGTAGAAACAAAATTGCTGTGGTTGTCCCACCTGATGACGGAAGCTTGTGTTGCCTCCGAAACGTCGTGATTTAGCTATTTTTATTTTATTTTCACCTACGTGACTTTACCGAAAGAACCAAAGAGTATGGTTGTGATGGTGTTGTGGAAGCGGGAGTAGAGCAGTTAGTGCGCAGCGCTACGAACCTGGCTATCCGGTCCTGGGCCTCCCCTAGGTCAACTCAGTTTCAAATGAGTACCTTTGTGTCGCCATTGTTTCCCCAGTGGCGATGTATAAACATCGCCACTGGGGAAACAATGGCGGCCGGGCGTGGTGCTGGCCACCCGCCCCCACGTGTGCCGTGCCAGGCCTTCATAGGTGCTCGCTAACGGAACTTGCGCCAACAGTCTGTGTAAAGCCACACGGGGGATCTTTGTCTTTGGTCGCGTTTGTGCAGGTCAACTACACGCAGCCCGTGGTGGCGGTGCGGTTCATGAACGCGACGCGCGGGGAGGAACTGTCGGTGGAGTGCTCCATCGCCGGCGTGAAACACGACAGTGATCGCGACCGCTTCCTGGGCAGGGTGACCTTCAGGGTGTTCATCCAGTGATCGCTCGCTCGCCCACACGCGCACGCACGATCGCCCACACGCTCACATGCAACGCTTGCTCATTCATGGTCATGCTCACTCAACCACACAAACACAGAGAGGCTTGCTCGCCCACACGATTGCACACTCACACTCGCTCCGCCAAGCTCAGCCACGCACGTACTCGTACATACACATGTGAAGACATCTTCGTACATGCTCACCCATACACACCCATTCATATAATATAAATCATACGGGTGTGTCCCCATACACACCCTTACACACCCATACGCAAAAATACACCCCAAAGAAACCATATCTGGGTCCACCCATACACACCAAGACAAACCAAATCTGGGTTTACTCATACATGGCAAGATAAACCATATCTGGGTAAACCCATACACGGCAAGACAACTCATGTCTTTCTACGCCCATACACACAGAGCTATGCACACACCGCTATAACGTCGTATCTGTATATACCTGAACACACAGACACACACACACCTATAAACCCCCACGCAGACAACCCCCCCCCCCCCCCCCAGTGCACAGCACTAATCAAACGCAGCAACACGCGCACACCACAATACGCGCACACATTCATGTCTGTACGCAAACACATCACACAAACCACACGCGCACCTAGGGGCCGTCCATAAATGACGTCACGCACCTGGGGGGGGGGGTCAGACATTTGTGACAATGTGTGACGAGGGGGGGGGGTTTGAGAAATGTGACGTCACATCAAAATGCGCAATTTTAAATAAATATAGACAACACGTTCTACTTAATTAAATAGACTTTTTAATAAATGTTTTCTCTTACAACATCAGAGTGCAGCTCCACGTTAAATACGCACTACAATGACAACAGTTTAAAGCGATTTGAGCATGTTTTATTTTGGGGGGGGGGGGGAGAGCTTTGTGACGTCATATTTGAGGGGGGGTCTGACTTTTTGTGACGCCGTGTGACGAGGGGGGGGGGGGTCAAAAATCGTCAAAAATCGCGTGACGTCATTTATGGACGGCCCCCTACACACACACACACATCGATAGACACACGCACACCAACACACTTACGCAAATGCACACGCACGCACACACCAGTACACAAAGACAAAGGTCCCCTGTAGAGGCTTAACAGACTGTTGCGGCAAGTTCTGTGCGTGAGCTCCGATTAATCCCGGCACGGCACAACAAGGAGGTGGGTGGCCAGGCACCGCAACCCTTTGACTCCCCAAAAAGCTGATGTTTACACACCGTACCAGGTATTTAAGGCCGAGTTTACCTAGGGGAGGCCCAGGACCGGTTCAGAATACTCGCCACTGATGTTGGCCGTGAGCGGGAATGGAATGCGGTTGTCGCCAGGTTCGTAGCGCCGTGCACTGACCGCTACACGGCATCTCCCACACACCAGCAAAGATGACCCCACTGAGCCTCCACACACCTGGGGCAAGTGCTGTTAGCGAGCACCTATGAAGGCCAGCACCACGCCCGACCGCCTTTGTCTCCCCAGCGGCGATGTTTACACACCGAACCATTTGATGCTGAGTCGACCTAGGGGGAGGCCCAGCAACAGTTTACGAGAATCATCACTGGCGAATCCAACCCCCGGGGGTGGCCCAGGGTTTCGTAGCGCAGCTACTACGCGACCGCTCCCCACTCACCGTCTCACACACGCACACCTCGACACACACACACCTCGACACACCCACACCTCGACACACACACACCTAGACACACGCAGCACACAGACACACGCAGCACACAGACACACACCGCTTCTAGCCAATCACAGCAGCGCGCTTCTCCCACACAATGCACGCCATCCAGCGTCAGGGCGGGGGGGGGAGTTGCCCGTGCAGTGGAGGGAGGAGGGTGGCACAATCACAAATCATACATCTGCGGAATATTCCACTTCGAGCTGCACGTGACCACCCACTTCTGCCCCCCCCCCTGTGTACAATAACATAACTATGCGGAATCTCCAACTCGCGTTGCACGTACCACCCCTCTTCTGCAACCCACACCCCGTGTACAATATCAAATTAGAAATCTGCGGAATCTACAACTCGCGTTTGCACGTGCCCACCCCTCTTCTGCAACCCACACCCCGTGTACAATAACAAATTAGAAATCTGCGGAATCTCCAATTCACGTTCGCACGTGCCCACCCCTCTTCTGCACGCACACCCCCCGAACTCCGCACCAGCAACCCCAATGGGGAGGTTGGCACCGCGGAGCGAGCCAAAGCGAAATCGGCGGCAGACACCAGCGCAGCAGCGCACAACGCCACGAATCCTCGACCCGTCACGGATCCGCGATGACCGAAAGTCGCCCTTCGAGAGGCGTTCTCATCCCCGACCGTTCTCAACTCAATCCGCCAAACACACCCCCCCCCGCCCCCAGCGAGCCGCCCGCACCGCCAGCGAGTCGGATGATGATAACGATGCGACACGCTGTTGACGATGATGTACGTACTGTATGTTGAACTTCTCTCGCGCCGTACGTAGCCAGCCGCGCTTGTCAGAGGTGCGGGGGAAGGACAACAAACGAAACGCGCGAAGGAGTTCGAGAGAAATGAGTTTGTCAATCTCGATGATGATTTAAGAGTGCATCACAGCTCCCAGCGGCTTCCGAATATCGGAAGGAAGAGCGTTCCAGACGGCCACCGAAGAGCATCGGAAAGCGCCACGCGATGTCGGTGGCCGTCTTTGTTCGATGGCTACAGCCAAAAGCCGCTGCCGCTGCTGCTCCCAGGATGACCCGGAGTTCACGCGATGGTGGTTTGGGCTCCTTGACGAGATCAGCGACTTGTGACCACACGTGTGGTCACACGTGCGACAACACGTGTGACACACGTGTGACCACACACCGGTCGGCGAAGGTGGCGGAGAGTCGAAGCGCAGCGCTACGGAGGTTGTGGATTGTTGTGACCAATCTGCAGTGTCCCAGGCAGCCCGCCGCACCGCCCGCGGTGGCTAGGAGATGTTAACTCCCTCGCCTGGTATGCAAGGTGGCCGTGGGTTCGATCCCGACCCTGACGCCCGCGGTGTGTATATATATATGTTTGGAGTTTGCGTGGTCACTCTACCCGTGTTTTCCCTCCGGGTCCTCTGGTTTGTTCCCCGCCGCGTTTAGAATGCCACGCCATGCGTTTGGAGTATTTTGGCTGCTGTACATTTCCACACGGTGACGCTGACGCTGGTGAGCCACTTTGTTGAGCGATATCATTTGTGGCCAGGTCGCTTCTGAGAAAGAGCTGCACAGCGCAGTGGGATTTTGCCTGGTGAATAAACGCGTAGTGAGTACGAATGTGAGAGTAGTCAGTCCTTAGCCCAGCACCGCGAATCCAGAGTACCCGGGCACGGCTTCCGAGAGGCGACGACATCGGGCGGATTAACGGGTGCTGATTTGGTCACGGGCGATGTTGTTTATTGAGTTGTTTATCTTTTAAGTTATTTATGAAGTCCATGTATTTAATTTATTTGTTTGTTGTTCTGCGCACCGTACCGCGAGAGCTTGGGACGGATCTGGTGAACGAGCCGAAGCCCCGAGGCGCCAAGGTCGTCCGCGAAGGGCCGTGGCACCAAACGTCGTGCCGTGACCTCTTGCGACGGCGTTTGGCGAACGTGGCGGCAACACCGAGAGTAGTTGGCCGCTCCGCAAAGTCCCGGCGGCGGCGGCGCGAGGCTAAAGTGGCGATTTCCATCGGAGCCAGGAGAATTGAGCCAGAATTGAAACCCGATCGCGCCATTCGCGGCATTTTCATCGCGCCCGTTCCATTCCTTACGAGGGGCCCACCTTTGTTTTAACAGCACGCGTCCACGTGATTTAATGACGCAATGATATTGTTTAGGATGTATTGTAATTGTTTCGTTAATCGTAAAGTTCCCCGTTGTAATCATTATTCCCGTTATTAATTATTATTACTCGCACAGATCCCTGCTGTAGTCATTGCGGTGTGTGTGCGGGGTCGTGATACGGTGTGTGTGCGGGGTCGTGATACGGTGTGTGTGCGGGGTCGTGATACGGTGGAGGTCGTGATACGAATGGGTCGCGTTTTGGATGTCGCTCTGCGCTGCGTAGCGAGGAGATTCGTGGTTTCACGATGACGGCGGCGGCGGTCCACGACCGTGGATACGCACGCACGGACGTGATAATCCGATGTGCCGGGTGTATTGCGGATCGTGAATCGAGGTTCATTTCTAATTGATTCGGCTCGCTCCGATCCGGCAAGCCAGCTCAAAGTTGATCGGGACAGCCCAACTTGAAAATGTCGATTCATTTGGCAAGCAATACGGCACTTGGGATCGAATAGTCGTGTGACATCGAGGTTAATTTGTAATTGATTCGGCTCGCTCCGATCTGGAAAGCCAGCTCAAAGTTGATCGGGACAGCCCAACTTGAGAATGTCGATTCATTTGGCAAGCAATACGGCACTTGGGATCGAGTAGTCGTGTGACATCGAGGTTAATTTGTAATTGATTCGGCTCGCTCCGATCCGGCAAGCCAGCTCAAAGTTGATCGGGACAGCCCAACTTGAGAATGTCGATTCATTTGGCAAGCAATACGGCACTTGGGATCGAGTAGTCGTGTGACACGCTCCCTTTTCCTTTGATTGGCCAACATCAGCAGGAGCGGTCGACACGAAACGTCCCGTCGAGTCGACACGGTCGTGTTCATTTCTTCGCGTGGGGGAGGAGGCTCTCGCGAACCGCTTCACACGTCACTCGCCACTGACGTTAGCCGTGGCCAGGACTCACCAACTCGCCGTTGAGTTCACATCGCCACAGTGTGAACCGTCTCCTCTTGTCCAATGATCCCGTGAGCCTGTGTTTGTATTCCGTCTCCTTGTGCAAGGTATCTGTGAGCCCGTGTTTCCATCTCGCTTGTAGAAGGTCCTGTAATCCCGTGGCTCTATCTCCTTGTGCGAAGTTTCGTGAGTCCGTGTTTCATCTGTGAGCCCGTCTAACCGATCCGCGGGTGGTCTGTGGCATGACAATGAGAGGAGCCGACGCGGGATTCAATTCACTGGAATTTTTAACAATCCGAGCAGCCATCATTTGGAGAAATGCTTCTTCCCCGCCTGTCCGTAACCTGTGCCCCCCTCCCCCTATTAACATCATTCGTGAGGCCACCGGGGGCCACTGGACACGGGCCCCCAAGGGATAATTTACCCACCCCCCCAAAATGGTTAAAGTCGGCGTGATTTGTGTGGTGAAGTCATAATTGTCATTTTAAGTTCTGTACAGGATTTATTTCGTTTCGGTGCAGTCAAAAACCTCTCTGTCTTTTTCCCATACCAAAATTGGGTGTGCATTGTTTCCCTCCTCTGCCACTGAATATCGGCGGAAATCGCCCGTTCCCACCAACGGACAGATTATCGGCGTCGTCATCATTTTTTCACGTCCTTTACACGAATGCCCAACCAAATCTGGCAACTCGTACGCGGCAGCCGATTCATATTGCCCAGCGCCGCTGCGTTGAACCCCGCACGTAGCGACTTGCGCATTGAGATAACGCGACACCAAATAGCCGAGAGAGCGAGCGAGAGAGATAAATAATGAGCGAGTAAGCGAGTGAGAGAGAGAGAGTGAGAGGGAGAGTGAGAGTGGGAGAGAGAGAGAGAGGGAGCCACTCGAGGCCTTGTGGGGGCCACTGCCAGGGTGCCCGTCCGTCCTTCGTCTTCCAGCCCGGCCTCCATGCCGGGTGTCGCGTCGCGTGCCGAGAGCGGTGAGCTTCCGTGACTCGGCGCAGACCGTGGGGGGGGGGGGGGGGGGGGGACTGCTTGGCGCACGGGGTTTGGGATGGCACCAGGGTGCGGCGGTTACGCCGGTCGTACTCCTGATCTCACAGGAGATCTCTTATTGCGACCGGTGTTTTGAGAAGTGTGGTGGGGTTTTTTTTTTTGGTCGTCTTTGCCCAGTTTCGTTCAGATTTGTCGTGACCAGGTTCGGGGGCGATGGTGGAAATCCGTTCTTGAATTTGTCGCGAAGCAATGCGGTTGCGTTAAGAGGACGGTCGACGGAAGTGGATTTCGTAGAACTAGTTTCGAGAAATCGATGGATTTGGGGAGATCTGTTAAACGTGACCGCCGTTCACTTAAAACAAAAATTCCACCGGACTTTATCCGCAAATGTGATATAACGGGGTCATCGTGAGATGATGATGAATCCATTCGTAAATCTCGCGGTTACGCAGCGGCTCGCAGTTTGGGGGTATCAGGCGAGAAGCGCCGCTGGAGATCCGTGGATCGGAGTGACCACCGTTCAAATTCCTAGAGATCTCTTGAAGCGAACGCCATTGGCTCTTTTACATCGTTCGGAACTATTGCGGAGCAGCGCGTAGCGCCATGTGTCAGAGAATAGTCCGCGGAAGTGGATATCGTAGAACTATAATTAGTTGATTTTTCGGTTAGATTGTGTTGGCATGTAAACCATTTTTAAATCAGGAGCTGTCCACCATCCGACAGAAACAATAAAATCAAGGTGTCACATCATTTTGGCCAAATACGCCACTCGATTTGTTTTTTTAGCAAAATGCAATGTTGCAAGGCACGCAAAGTTTTTGACAATTTTGTACGACGTTTCGCTGGGAGATTACATCCAGCATCATCAGGCATTAACGAAGCTCAGATTTCGCCAAAGCCTACGCATGAAGACCGTAGAACTACTGCATGAGATATCTCCCGAGATGGGGTGACGATCTGTAACACTCAGCGATCACAGTTGCATTTGTGAGACACTTGATAACCAAGTTGAATCACAACTCACTTGAGGTCTGTAGGTCTCTGTGAGTCTGTGGGTCCCTTTGTGAGTCTGGGTCTGTATTCAAGTCATTAGGAACGGTACCATCAACTCGCCACACTTGAGAACAGGCGGTCGTGACCTGGATTCAAACCCAGAGACTTGGCAGTGCCGGCTCGGTATCTCGGAGCTTGAAGGTCGCTGTCGCTAACAGATCGCTATGAAAGTGAATGGAGGTCAGGTTAGCTAAGAGATCTCTAGGAAAGTGAACGGAGGTCGCTGTAGCTAAGAGATCTCGATGAAAGTGAATTGAGGTCGCTGTGGATAAACAATCGCTATGAATGTGATTGGAGGTCTCTGTAGCTAACATCTCTATGAAAATGAATGGAGGTCTCTGTAGCTAACATCTCTATGAAAGTGATCGGAGGTCTCTGTAGCTAACATCTCTATGAAAGTGATCGGAGGTCTCTGTAGCTAACATCTCTATGAAAGTGAATGGAGGTCTCTGTAGCTAACATCTCTATGAAAGTGATTGGAGGTCTCTGTAGCTAACATCTCTATGAAAGTGATCGGAGGTCTCTGTAGCTAACATCTCTATGAAAGTGAATGGAGGTCTCTGTAGCTAACATCTCTATGAAAATGATCGGAGGTCTCTGTAGCTAACATCTCTATGAAAGTGATTGGAGGTCTCTGTAGCTAACATCTCTATGAAAGTGAATGGAGGTCTCTGTAGCTAACATCTCTATGAAAGTGATTGGAGGTCTCTGTAGCTAACATCTCTATGAAAGTGAATGGAGGTCTCTGTAGCTAACATCTCTATGAAAGTGATCGGAGGTCTCTGTAGCTAACATCTCTATGAAAGTGAATGGAGGTCTCTGTAGCTAACATCTCTATGAAAGTGAACGGAGGTCTCTGTAGCTAACATCTCTATGAAAGTGAATGGAGGTCTCTGTAGCTAACATCTCTATGAAAGTGATTGGAGGTCTCTGTAGCTAACATCTCTATGAAAGTGAACGGAGGTCTCTGTAGCTAACATCTCTATGAAAGTGAATGGAGGTCTCTGTAGCTAACATCTCTATGAAAGTGATCGGAGGTCTCTGTAGCTAACATCTCTATGAAAGTGAATGGAGGTCTCTGTAGCTAACATCTCTATGAAAGTGAACGGAGGTCTCTGTAGCTAACATCTCTATGAAAGTGAACGGAGGTCTCTGTAGCTAACATCTCTATGAAAGTGATCGGAGGTCTCTGTAGCTAACATCTCTATGAAAGTGAACGGAGGTCTCTGTAGCTAACATCTCTATGAAAGCGAATGGAGGTCTCTGTAGCTAACATCTCTATGAAAGTGATTGGAGGTCTCTGTAGCTAACATCTCTATGAAAGTGATTGGAGGTCTCTGTAGCTAACATCTCGATGAAAGTGATTGGAGGTGTCATCAGCTAACATCTCTATGAAAGTGAATGGAGGTCTCTGTAGCTAACATCTCTATGAAAGTGATTGGAGGTCTCTGTAGCTAACATCTCTATGAAAGTGAATGGAGGTCTCTGTAGCTAACACGTCTCTACGTATGGACTCCGGGGTTGAAGTCTCGTAAAGCCTCGGCGACATTTCCCTTTCGCGCTGCGCCGAGCCTCATGGCTCTGTTCTCAATGAGGGTCCCGCGACTGAGAATGTTTTTGGGTCGACTGTTGTTGTTGTTTAGTGGTGGCTGGGGCCAGAGCGGCGTTCATTCTGGCCGTCCGATTGCCCCCACCCCCCCAGCCCCGTCGCGTCGGCGAGAAGCGACGATTTCACCATTTGCGTGGTGGGAACTTCGCCTCTCCGGCACGCGCAGGAGCGACGGCGTTGGACGTCACGTGGCCGAACGCGGAGCTCCGCGACGTTCCAACGCCCCCGTCCGCTGCGACGCGCGGTCCGGGGAAGCGAGCGGATACGATTTGACGTCGCGTTTACACTTTTGGGGGGGGGGGGGGGCGGGGGTCGTTACGTGCCGCACGAGCCTGATGATTGCTACACACGCACACACACACGTCGCGTCGTTAAGAGCAAGGGGGCTGTACGACGACACGCTGCACGGTGGATCAGCAGCCGTCGTTGCTATCGCGCTGTTAAATCATTTTAATGGGAAGGGTTGGGGGGTGGTGGTGGTGGTGATGTTATGGCTCCCGCCATGGGAATATGGAATGTCCACCTATTCCTTACCTCTCAGGACTGCTTCACTGGTTGAGGGGGATGTCGCGAGAACTGATGTTCGTATCGATGTCGTGGCCGCGGGAGTGGCTTCCCTCTGTATTTGAAGTCGGGATTTTGAGTCTGTGAGTCTGTGCAATCTAAAGAACGTATTTATACGCACGCGCCGATCCATATATAGATACCCCACTCGAATAATGGGGATATATTTTAGAACTACGCTGAGATTTAATTGAGAGCCTAAACACGTTCGCCACGAATCTCGATACGTGAAACATCTTTCAGCACTTTCCGCGCTGCGCATCGCTTTCCAAACGTGCGATCGCCTGTCGCGAAGAACGTAGAGAGAGAAGTGGGGGGGGGGGGTCATCGATAGAAGTCTGTGGGGTATCTGTAAATGGATCGGCCTCCGCAGTGGGCGATGGAAGGGTCTGGCATAGAAGGCTAAAGATGACCAAATATCATCGCGACAATAAGGAGCTGGCGAAAGTGTGCTCATGCATGTCTGGCATCATCGTTTCGTTTGCGCGTAAACTCCGCCGCCAAAGAAACAAAAATTGGGATGAATATATTTTTTAAATCCAGGAAAATCTGGAGAGAGAGAGAGATCTAAAGCAAATTATCCGCAACTTTGTGGGAAATCCCACACAGGCCAGAGCTGGCTTGCAGTGCACTCCACACGATACGTGTCACACGTTTTTGTCAAGGTGCGAGTCGTGGAGTGAATCTGGCTTTGAGAGTTTTGTCAGGCCAGGTATCAACGCTTTGGGGCGTCGATGATGGTGGTGGTGGTGATGATGGTGGTAAATCAAATCCACTGGACTTGCACGAGGACCGTGTAAGAGTTATCTCAGTGTCACAGAGGTCAATCTTTGCTGTCTTGTGTCCAGCCACTGACCTCCGTGACCCTGCCGGGCCCCTGACCTCTCGGCCGTGGCTCAGAGGGCACGGGCTCGGTGAGGTGCATCAGCTGATGCGTCAGTGGAGATCTGAGTGGCTGCTACGCCTTCACAATACGTACACAAGTTGGCCGAAAGTCATCACGACCTGTACACGCATGCAGTAGTACGTGGTCTACACACAGGCGCACAGAGGTGCACACACACTCGCGCGCACGCTCGTCTACAAAACAGGCACGGTGAGCACGCCGTGACGCACAGATCTGATGGAACACGTTCACACACGCACGCACAGCGGTGATACACGTTCACCCGGTCACGTTCATGCGCGTGTTGCACGCAACCCGCCGTTCAATCCACGCACGCAATCACCGGTACACACGCGTACGCACGCACACTTGTCGTAGAAGCGGTAGACGCGCACCACACCGTGTCTGGTACCCATGCTAGGACGCACACACACACAGGCACCATCACGCTCCGTCGTCGGCAGCACTACAACGCATTCCCTCTGCCCCCCCCCCGTCCTCCTGCACGCACGGTGCTTGCCGCGAGCCCTCCTCTCGAGGTGTCGATGCTCGTCTCGTGTTCACGATCCCGTGTCCCGCCCTTTCCTGTGCCCCTCTCGCCACCGCCGCCGCAACGAGGACTCCCTTCGGCCCCCCTCCACCCCCCGTGCCGCGCGGTCCTTTCAACTCCTCGCTCTGCCACACGGCAACCTCTGACACCCCCCGCCGCCCCTCGCCCGTTCGTCTCCCCGCGCGTTTAAAAACGAAAAAAAAATATCGAAATATGCATGCAAGTGTAGAGTCCTCTTTCCCTGCCCTCCGGCCCAGTGCGTCGACGCAGCATTCTCGTTTTTACGAAGACCGCCCGTCGCGTTTCAAGCGCGCACGCGGAGAACCGCGCACCGGCGTCCCTCCATCACCCCCCCCACACACACACAGCTTCGGGAAACCCCCGGCGCACGTCGTGTGCGAATCGCACGTGCTGTGCGATGCCACGTGCTGTGCGATGTCACGTGCGATGCGCCCACGTGGTGTGCGATGATTCCACGTGGTGTGCGAGCGACGGGGAAATATCCGTGAAAAATCGGGGAGCGAACTCCTCGATCATCTTTCATCTTTCACACCGCGACGACGGCGATGGCGACGATGATGACGACGACGACGACGATGTCCGTCAGCGCCGTGCGTCGCCACCTAATTGATCGACAGGGTGACCTGGGCCGTGACCCGCGCGCGTCTGACCCCAACCCCACCGCGCCCCCCCCCGTCCCAATCGCCGTGTGCGTGTCCCCGTATGTCCGACTCCTTGCAATAACGGCGGCTGGTTGTTGTTGTTGTTGTTTTATAACGATGATGCGCGTTACACCCGTCCGTTACCATGCACGATTGAAACTGTCGGTGATTGAATTGAATGAATTAGTCGTTATACCTAAACTTAACCTAACCCTGGACATGCGATTAGCTTTGAGTGATGCTAAATAAACATTAATAACCACCGCGGACAGGCGTGTTTTTTTTTAAGTGTGCTGGTTGTTATTCTTTGGCGGGTGGTGGTGGTGGCTATGCACGTGGCCTGTAATCCAGGACTGTGGAAGCGAAGCTTGGTGGACCACCACCACCACCACAAAGGTGCCCGTACCCTGGCTCGCCGGAAGAAGGCGATACAGCAAAGAATGGGATCGAGTGTTGCCCCATCGCACGCGCGTGTTTTCGCCGGGTGCTCCGGTTTCCTCCCACATGTATAAACGCTCATTAAGTGGCAAAAAAAATCTCGACGTGTAGTGGACTGCAGAGCTTGGGCAATTGTCGGCGCTTGCTCACCGCCCAGCTTTTGCCTTCCCCGCCAATTGTCTGTGGTTCCTCGGCGGTTGGGAGATGCAATTTGCATGAACGACGACGCCGCTGCTACTGCTGCTGCCATGCAGAACTAAACATTCTTCTTCTTGCAGACGTTTCCCATGTTGCCATTGTAGCCGGTCCACCCGTCGTGAATCCTTTCAAGGGGGGGGGGGGGGGGGGGACAGGCCGACTAAATCGACAACGATAAAAAATATAATAAAATGTTCGGAGACAAAGAGTAGAAGTGACTGCGCCGTGTTCCGTCCTCCGGAGAAAAGGGAGACTCCACAACAGATGAGCGTCAGGGGTTTGTGAAACGGCAAAAAGTCCTCTTCAGAAGGGCGATCGCGTATCTGCAATGGCGATCAGAGAGCCACCCTCCCCACGTCACAATACCGCAGCTCAATTTCTCAGCACGAAATCCGCCCACATCTAAAATGGGGGCGAGCCTCGTGCTAGACTGTGCACGTTGGGCTCTGGGTCCAATCCCCGATCACCATTGCCGTCACTTAAATATTCATTTTTTTAACGCAGCTGATCACCCGTAGCGATATGCATAGCTGTCAACCCACACGGTTTACTCCGTATTCTTATACAGTGAAATTTAATTTTCAGGTCCTTACGGCGTACAGCCGTTTCAATACCGGCAACAACAAAACATCATACGGCCAAATTAAAAAGTCGTGGGGCAGCTTTTTTTACTTTGGTGAGTAGCGATCCTGGAGCAGTCGACAAATTTCTGTTGTACATTTGTAATGACATGATGACACCTGCTGGCTGGGAAAGGGAAGCACGGGTACGGGCACGGTTAAGAAACATCCAATCAGAGAGGGAGAGGTATCTGGGGGCAAAGGTCATGGGCGGGGTTGGCCGAGATGCTCCGGGAACCTGCTCGAAGATTCCACGAGAGGGCGGAGCCTAGCCGCGTCTGGGGGGATAAAAGCAGGGGCAGACCCGGGGCTCGGGGTTCGTGTGTGGAGTCTTGGGACCGGACTGCGTCGCTGCTCGCCGTCATCTTTCTCCGTCGTCCGGCCACGTTGAAGATCTCCTGCGGGCTTCCGTCGCCATCCTCGTCACGCCGCCAGCCAGCGGCGTGACGAGGGAGGGCGGTGGGACCGCGCCGAGCGATCGGCCGTGTGTGTGTAGCCAGTAGAGACGCTAATATCTAAGTGTTGTACTCAGAGTGAGAAAGATAAGGTTGGCCTGTGTTGTGCCCCTGTGAGAAATAAAAGTACCCTCTACACGACGTGTCGCGGAAGTCGCTCATTACACATTTACAACATGTGTGTGCATCCACGTATCAAGCAAGCATGCAAGATCACAGACAGTAGCATGATAGATAGCATCATTGACACCAATTATCAAAATTGAAACGTAAAGGTTTTTGTTCAGTTACAATTTGTCTATTTGTGTTTTTCCCTTTTAATTTGTAGAATGAACGTTGAGATTTGTAAGGGCACAGGGTGACCAATAAGGTTTGAATTGGCCTGTAATAAGGTAGGCGCTGATAAGGGGTTGACAGGTATGCATGTGCAAAATGGTTTCTTAGGTTATATGCTACAGAGTACACTATAATACGTGTGATTCAGCACGGGTGAGCAGCTCACACCGGCTACACCATGGAGTCGGCTGCCCGGCTCACCCTCCTGCACTCCTGTGAAAGGCCCCTCCCATCACCCCAGCTTGCGTCATGCCGATTCGTCACCCGTTCCCGTCTCATCTTCGCTCTGCCGCTGCTTCCTCTCCATCTTAACCCTTTTCCGTTCCGAGACGTCTGCAAGTTGAAGGGTGGGCCCCATTCACCGCTGAATCTCGGAACGCGCAAGCGGTCAGCGTTAATTGTATTTAGAGGCACAATGCCGCTGTATTCAAAGATATTGTACTCCCCGCAGGGAACTGTAGCGACACGACCGCACTCTACGATAGCTGGCGCCAAACTGTGCCCCACGCCCTCCCGCATAGCCTTGGCCTAATTTAATCCGTACGTGCACGTCATCGGAATGGAATCGGAAGAAAAACTGATCTACGATTATGATCTTTCCCTCCTCTCTCCGCAGCAGCAGTAGTCAATAAACCATCATTAATGGGCCGGATGTTCCTTCAGGTGTTGCGATCCATCACCCCTAGCCAGGCCCACATCCTCAAGCGTGACCATCTTAGAGCACCAGGTTGAGGGTGGGCGTCCCCACGTTCGGTCGGGGTTTTGTTCCGGATCTGCTTTTGACACTGGCATGGGAAGCCATCCAATATCCTTCGTGACCCCAGATGTTTTACGATGTCTTCACTTCTCGTCTCACCTCTCAAGAGTAATCGTTCTTACTTGTTGCGTCTTGAGAATTGAATCCACCTGGAGAATTAACAGGACCAGTTCTGATATGACTGGTCACTGATGTTGGGCCTTGAACCAGGATTCGAGCTTGGACCGTGGGGGTTGGTAGGGCAGTGCGTAAAAACCACAGCACCATCGCTGCCCACACACGTATACAGCGTGACACACACACACGCAGCTGAGATCAGATGGTGAGTGCGGTAGTGGGCGAGTGAAAAACAACCACATCAACACCAAGGCGTTGTCGAAGCTCAGAAATTTATTGGTTGTTCAGGAGCTGGGAGGACCGGTGAGTGATGACATGCGCGTGTTTGTGACAGGTTACGCAGGGTGGAGTGGAGGAGGGATAAGACATATTTCTTAGCAGCTCAGTTGATGTTTTCCAAGCCCTGTGAGAAACACACACACACACAAGGGATCTGCCGTTCAGCTTTTTACAGACAGAAGGGGCGAGTGCCGTTCGCGAGCACCTCTTAAGGCCGGTACGCCACGTGACGGGGGATGGTGTGGCCAGCACCACGCCTGGAAACTTTTATCTCCCCGGTGCCGATGTTCGTCACGCACCAGGCTACTCATGCAAGGCTGAATTGATCTAGGGGAGGCCCAAACACCAGATGTCATCGCCACTGACGTTAGCTGTTCCCTGCAATTGAACACAAGTCACTGGCCTCGTAGTGCGGTGTGCGAGACAAAACGGTGGCTGTCACCGCTCAGCACAACCCAAGCAACGCATGTATGTTGAACTTCTTATGCACCGTACGTAGCCAACCTTGCTAATCGGAAGTGCGGGGAAAGGAATATAAACTAAACACACAACAGCAGTTCTAAAGAAATTAGTTTTAAAGGCACGCACACATGCCCAAACGCCTAGACATGCATGCACGGCAAGGCCACACTGAATCTGACAGTGGTGATGGTGACAGAGTTGACAGCATTGCAAGCGGCTGTTATTTTTGATGGTGATGATGATGATGGCGACGATCATGGTGAAGGTGATTTATATTCTTGGTTCTTTCGGTAAAGTCATGTAGAAGGGAAATAATAAAAATATAAAACAATAAAAATGATCACGACGTTTCGACTGCAACACAAGCAATCATCATCAGGTGTGAAATCCACAGCAATTTTCTTGCTGTGGATTTCACACCTGATGATTATTGCTTGTGTCGCAGTCGAAACGTCGTGAGAATTTTTATTATTTAATATTTTTATTATTTTGTTATTTTCCTTCTACATGACTTTACCGAAAGAACCAAGAATATGAATCCCTGCAGTCACGAAAGCTTTAAATCAAAATTTAAGGTGATTTATGTTGATAGTGGCAATTATGGTGATGATAAAGATTGTGATATTGGTTTTGAAGATGATGATGATGACGATGCCAGTGCTGGTGGAAACAATTGCGATGGTGGCGATGATGCTGAAGACGGTGATGATTTATGGTGATGACGTTTATAACACTGACGATGGCGACTATAACGATGACAATGGAGAATTTACGGTGGCGATTATTTACGGTGACAGTGACGATAAAGATGCTGATGATTATTTATGATGATTCCGGTGGTGACTGTGGTGGTGGTGATGTTGACAATGGCGAGGGTGGTGATTATCGTGGTGATAATTGTGCGTGAATTTATGGTGTTGGCAGTGATGGTGATCTATGATGATGTTGACGGTGGTGACGGTGATGATGATGATCATGGTGGTGTTGACGATTTCATAGCTTCACGATGCACCGCTAGTAGATGCTTGTGTTGACGGTGGCGACAGCGATGATGATTATCATGGTGGTGTTGATATAATAGCTTCACGATGCACCGCAGGTAGCTGCGTATGATGATGTTGACGGTGACGACAGCGATGATGATCATGGTGGTGTTGATGATAGAATAGCTTCACCTTGCTCTGGTAGTAGGTGTTTGTCCCAGATATTCGCGCGTCCCTCTTGAGCATCATGAACCCGAAGGAGTCGGACACCACGCGCTTCTCCTGCCACGGGGGGAAAATTCACGGCACATGTCGAGACGGAGTTTAATTTGAACCCTTTACAACTAAGGCCAGCCTTAATGTACTGGCTCTGTCTGGCTATATCTCGGGTGCCACAGTGGCTAGGAGATGTTAACTCCCTCGCCTTGTATACAGGCAGTCGTGGGTTCGATCCCGACCCTGACGCCTGCTGCTGTATATTTGGAGTTTGCGTGTTCTCCCCGTGGACACGTGGATTTACATGCTCATTTTCAGCAGAGCTATATGATAGCTCAACGAAGCGGCTTATCACGTGGAAATTTATCGCAGCCAAATGCTCTAAACGCGTGATGTTGATTCTAAATGTGGAGGGGAAAACCGGGGGACCCGGAGAAAAATCCACACACATACACAGCAGGCGTCAGGGTCGCGATCGAACCCACGACCTCCTGTACACCAGGCGAGGTAGTTAACATCTCCTAGCCACCGTGATGATGAGACACACAAACTCCAAATCTACAGCAGGCATCACGGTCGCGATTGAACCTCCGACCTCCTGTACACCAGGCGAGGTAGTTGACATCTCCTCCCCATCGTGATGATGATGAGAGAGAGAGACACGCAAACTCCAAATCTACAGCGGCAGGCGTCAGGGTCGCGATTGAACCCACGACCTCCTGTACACCAGGCGAGGTAGTTAACATCTCCTAGCCACCGTGATGATGATGAGAGAGAGACACACGCAAACTCCAAATCTACAGCAGGCATCACGGTCGCGATTGAACCCACGACCTCCTGTACACCAGGCGAGGTAGTTAACATCTCCTAGCCACCGTGATGATGATGATGAGAGAGACACACGCAAACTCCAAATCTACAGCAGGCGTCCGGGTCGCGATTGAACCCACGACCTCCTGTACACCAGGCGAGGTAGTTGACATCTCCTAGCCACCGTGACGTCTTAATGGGCCAACGTGCGTGCACACTCCACTGCTGGATGAAGGCCTTTCCACGCCGTGCCGTGTGAGGGGGGGGGGGGGGTTACACAAACTTTACACGGCCATACCTAAACCATTCTTTTAACTCCGCTGGTCAGTGCGAGCTGGAGGCGGCGAGCATCGACAGCCGTGGGCTCAATAGACGTTCAGCACAACGACGCCTTTTAACGCCACTGCCCTCTGCTGACCAAGAGGAAGGCCTCGCAACGCGGCCTTGTTCAAGCCTCTCACGGTCACCCCGATGGACAGGGCAGCACAGGGCACCATCCCCTCCCCCACCACGGGGCCTTTAGCTGGGGCCTCATTCCGTCCTAATTCATCGTCAACAACAACACCATCATCGCCAACATCTGCCACGAGCTGTCACGCTGCCACTTGTCCACACGATTTACCGCCGCCAGCCGCCGCTCACCTTCCACCCGCTGGACGCCCGCTGCAGGAACATGGTGGTGAATCCCGGCACCATGAGCGCGACGGTCATGACGGCCAGGCCGGGCAGGATCTCGTACCACATGGCTCGCTGCTGCTGCTGTTGCTGTTGCCGCTGCTGCTGTTGCTGCTGATGTCTCTCCGTCGTCGAAAGCCGTCAAAGTCTCGCGTTCTCTACACCGCCGCCCCCCCGCCCCTTGCAGTCACCTTCAACCCTCTACGACGTCATCCGGTACCACGCGGATGACGTCACACGGTGTAAACTGGATGACGCCACACGGTGTAAACTGGATGACGTCACACGGTGTAAACTGGATGACGTCACACGGCGCAAAGTGGATGACGTCACAGGGTGCCAATATCAATGACGGGAACCTGTACTCTTAGTTCTTTCGGTAAAGTCACGTAGGTAAAAAATGAAATTAAAATTAATAAGAGCTGAGATTGAGATGAGCTAAAACAAACCTCGCAGTGAGGTGGGGGGTGTCACGTAGGACAGAAGCAAAATAAAAATGCGGTTTGGGGGTTATTTTTTTTCCTTCGTGGCTTTCCCACGACGATTTGGTTGTTATTGTTGTCGCAAAGATAACAAAAAGGAGGGGGAAAAAAACAATTTTTATAAAAATAATATTATTTAACTTTCAAGTGTTGTTGTTCTCTGCGCCACTGACAGGCGGACATCCGGTGACGTCACTTCCGTAACTTTCACGCCGTTTTTTGGCGGGAGAAAGCGTGGTGGGGCCTCGTCCTCCTCGTTCTCCTCGTCTCCCTCCTCTAGCGACTTCTCTCGTGCCCCCCTCCCTCCCTGCCTGCCTGCCGCGGAAGGAAGATGCACGCGTTCCTCAAGGGCGGGAGTTTACCTCAGAAGGAGAAGTCGGCCGCCAAGGAGAAGCCCGGCAGCGGCGAGGCGAAGCGGAGCCGAGCGGTGCCATGGGTGGAGAAATAGTGAGAGCTGTGCAGCACCGCCTCCTCTCGCCTGCAACATGTCGCGTGCAACATCCCCTCAGATGCAACACCGCCTCCTCTCGCCTGCAACATGTCGCGTGCAACATCCTCTCACATGCAACACCGCTTCTTCACATGCAACATCTCCAGATTTCTCACATGCAACACCGCCTCCTAACGTGCAACATGTCCCATGCAACATCGCTTCTTCACATGCAACACCGCCTACTGACATGCAACATCTCCAGATTTACCGTGACCGTCAGTGTACCTCACTCATTATGCTTTGTCCGGGCTCAACCCCGCTTCGCTTTTGAGATCAACGAGATTTTGGTCGTAGGCATTGATCGTGATGTTGACGATTGTTGCAACCATGACAACGACGACGATGATGGTGGTAGTGGTGGTGGTAACAATGGTGGTAACTGTGTTTGTTCCAGCCGGCCCAGGTGCGTGGACGAGGTTGCGCACCAAGAAGAGGTGGTGGCCGTGCTCAAGAAGTCGCTGCAAGGAGCCGATGTGAGAAGGGACGCTGTTGGCTCTTAGCGTTGAACTCCTTTCACTCGGGATTCAACTGCCTACATCACCACTCACACGTACCGGCTCTCTGTGGACCCATCCATACGGTGGCTAGGAGATGTTGACTACCTCGCCTGGTATGCAGGAAGTCGTGGGTTCGCTCCCGACCCTGACGCCTGCTGCTGTAGATTTGGAATGTATTCACTCCCTGTGGTTGCGTGGATTTTTCTCCGGGTCTCCGTTTTTTTTCTCTCCACATTTAGAATCATGCATTTAGAGTATTTGACTGCTTTTAAATTTCCACGTGATCAGCCACTTCGGTGAGCTGTCATTAGTGACCAGGGCGATTCTGAAAAAGAGCTATGTAGCTCAGTGGGCCTTATCTGGTAAAATAAATATGGTTTAAATCAGAATCAGAAAGGGTTTTATTCGCCATGAAAGTTTGCACAAACAAGGAATTTACTATGGCAGGAAGGTGCATACATTCAACATGTAGCCCACCACCTATGTACCTGGCTGTATTTGTGCCTGTGCGTGTTTGTACCTGTGTGTGCCTGCCATGTGTACCCATACGCAGTATGTATAGCAGGGCGAGCGGTAGTGTAGTAGTGGTTAGCGCGCTGTGCTATGAATCCGGCGACCCGAGTTCGGTTTCCGCTCATGGCCAACACCATTGACGATTATCTGAACCGGTCTTGGGCCTCCCCTAGCTCGACTCAGCCTCAAATGTGTACCTGGTGTGGTGTGTAAACATTGCCACTGGGGAGACAAAGGTGGCCGGGCATGGTGCTGGCCACCCACCCCCTCATGCGCCATGCCGACCTTCATATATGCTCGCTAACGGCACTTGCTTCTGACAGTCTGTTAAGGTTATACGGGGGGATCTTTGTTTTGTACGTGCGCGTAGCTGCCGAACCTGCTGTTCTACGGACCGCCGGGCACGGGGAAAACGTCGGCGATCCTGGCGGCGGCACGCGATCTGTTTGGGCCGGAGCTGTATTCGCAGCGCGTGTTGGAGCTCAACGCGTCGGACGAGCGTGGCATCCAGGTGGTGCGACACAAAGTGAAGAACTTCGCGCAGCTCACAGCATCCAGCACTCGCAAAGAGTGAGTGACGGATGGACTCGAGTGGGATTTTGTCCGTTTATGCCTGTGTGGTGTTGTGCATGTGTGTGCGTGCCTCTGTATCTGTGGGTCATGTAGCCCGCATGCCCAGCCACCGCATGCCCAAGCAGCTTCTGTTTGGCCAGATACATGGGGCTAAACGGGTACACCATGGTCTGGAGAAGAGATGAACTGATCCAGTACGGGAGGATATGGATCTGAGTGGGCTTGCCAAAAACTGGTACCAACAATGTCAAGATCGACTGCTGTGAAGGAGGCTCATGAAGCGCGCTACTGGTCAGTGGGAGGCAGCCATCTAACATTAACAGAGGGCAGAGGAGCAACGCTCACAACAATGAGCAGAATTAAAATACAGAAAGTTGGCACAGTAGGGGGCACAGCTAGTGCATATGCCAGTTATCTCAGTCAGTCAACCCATCATACCTGGGTCTGTCCCTGTCAGCAAGCCTTCAACACTTCACGTGGCCTCGAAGTGCACCTAGCCTGGCACAGGGGCCGTGGTGACGTTATCACCACTTAGTGACGAATGGCGGGTGTTGATGTACCTGTGGGTTCCTATGTGTCCTTGCATGTGTGTGTGCATGTGGAGAGCGGTGGTGCAGTGGTTAGCGTGCTACGCTAACATCAGTGACGATTATCTGAACCGGTTCTGTGCCTCCACGACGTCGACAGCTTTAAATGAGTACCAAGTGTGATGTTTAAACATCACCACTCCGGAGACAAAGGCGGCCGGGCGTAGAGCTGGCCACCCACCCCCTTCGCGTGCCGTGCCGGCCTTCATAGGCGCTCGCTAACACCACTTGCCCCAACAGCCTGCTTAAGGCTATACAGTACAGGGGATTAATTGTGTGTGTGACTGTGAGCGAGTGGCTATGCGTTTGTTTGTGTTTCTTGTCTTTTTTGTGTCTGTACGTGCATAATGGTCCCCGCCCATCCTTGCGAATGCCTCCAACCCCCCCGCCCCGCAGTGGCAGCCCCTGCCCGCCGTTTAAGATTGTGGTGCTGGACGAAGCGGACTCGATGACGTCCGCGGCCCAGGCCGCGCTGCGCCGCACGATGGAACGCGAGACGAAGACGACGCGATTCTGCCTCATCTGCAACTACGTGAGCCGCATCATTGAGCCACTCACTTCGCGCTGCTCCAAGTTCCGCTTCAAGCCCCTGTCGGACGCTGCGCAGGAGCAGAGGGTCAGGCACGTGTGCGACCAGGAAGGGCTCAAGATCGAGCAGGAGGTACGTGTGTGTGCGTGCATGTGTGTGTGTGAGGCTGGGTGTGCATGTGTGAAGATGTGCGAGTGTGTGATGTGGGGAGCGGTAGCGCATTGGTTAGCGCGCTGCGCTACTAACCCGGTGACCCGGTTTCGATTCCTGCTCACGGCCATCAACACCAGTGATGATTATCTGAATAGATCCTGGGTCTACCCTACGTTGACTCGGCTTCAAATGAGTATCTGGTGCAGTGTGTAAACATCGCCACTATAGAGGCAAAAGCGGTCAAGTGTGGTGCTGGCCACTCACCCACTCTTGTGCCGTGCCGGCCTTCATAGGTACTCGCTAACAGCACTTGCCCCAACAGTCTGCTAAGGCTATACGGGAGATCTTTGTCTTTGAGTGTGTGAGAATGTATGTATGTTTGCACGTCTTTGAGGATGGGTGTGTGTATGTTCACAGGTTTGCTGAGCATTTCAGTGAGGGGAACTCATCCGATTAAATAACATCATAGGGCAAGGTGGGGTTGACCCTGCTGCTGCTACTGTTCATCTGTTACTGCAGAGGTGCAGATAATTTAAACGTGACCTCCATCTCTGCTTTATTGACCTGGTCAGGGCCATTGATATCATCAATAGGCCAGGGCTCTGGGTTATTCTTCACGCTTTTAAAGTCCCGGACCCTCTGCTCGCAATCATTTAGCACCTTCATGATGGTGTTATACGTGAACTGACTAACCCGTAACAAAAGAAAAAGACACACAGACCTGACACACCTATTGTTCACCTCACTCCTGTCACCAGGCCCTGTCGGAGCTGGTAAAGGTAGCCGAAGGCGACCTCCGCCGCGCCATCACCATGCTGCAGAGCGCCGCCCGCCTCGTAGTCGGGGCGACCATCACGCGAGCCGTCGTCATGGAGATCTCCGCCTCCGTGCCCACCGCTTTGCTGAATGCCCTGGTGGAGGCGTGCCGCTCCAGTTCCATCGACAAGATGGACCTGGCTGTCCAGGTGGTGCCTCCTTTCTACCGCTCACCTCTGTATCATCATCATCATCATCCTCTTCTGTGCTACCCCCTTCTGGACCTCTTATATACGGACGGCCTCCTACTCCACCACTCCTCCTTGTAGCCCTTCTCATTCTGAACTACCCCCTTCTGTAATCCCCCTCAACTTCTGCTCTGCTCCATTTTGTATCCCCTCCTGTATTCATATGTATGTAGTCCCCCTTTCTCTATCATTATTTCTGTACCACTCTAAACTAAACTATAAACTATTTTTTTTATTTTACCAGGTAAGGCCACTGGGCTATATAGCTCTTTTTCAGAAGCGACCGGGCTATCACAAATGATAGCTCAACGAAGTAGCTTATCACGTGTCAATTTACAGCAGCCAAAGACTCTAAACGCATGGGGGGCTGCCTCCACGGAGGGTGGAGCCCCGGGTCGAGGCGCGTGCGACGTGCGGGGTTGAGGCACGTCATGTGACCAGCGCAGCTGGCAGCAGCGCGGTCACGTGGCTTCTGTATACACTTTAGTCATTAGTGTCTAAATTATTTTATACAACCCCATTAATGTATAATATGCCATATAAAATATCATTTTTTATACTTTGGAACGGATTATTTCCTTTTTCTTTATTACTTATGGGAAAAAATCTTTGGTATACGTCATTTTCGGTATAAGTCCTAGCTTCTGGAACGAATTAACGACGTATACAGAGGTTCCACTCTATAGGGTGGCAAGATGTTAACTACCTCGCCCGGTATACAGGAGGTCATGGATTTGACCCTGATGCCTGTATATTTGGAGTGTGCATGTTCTCGTGGTCGCGTGGATTTTTCTCTGGGTCCTTAAAAAAATTTCTCCGCATTTAGAAACATGCCTTTATAGTATTTGGCTGCTATACAGTTCTGACGTGATAAGCCACTTTGTTGAGCTATCATTTGTGGCCAGGTCGCGTCTAGAAAAGAGCTGTATAGCTCAGTGGGCCTTACCTGGTAAGATAAAACATAGTTTGTTCTCTTTGAGATCCACATTGTGTTGTATTAATGACTGCCGCGTGTCTCCTGTGTGTGTGCAGAACATTTGCTGCGAGGGCTACGCGGCCACGACGCTCATAGGGCAGCTTCACGAGGTCGTGCTGTGTCGTGCCGACCTCTCCGACCGGCAGAAGTCGGCCATCGCCGACAAGCTGGGGGTCAGCGACACACGGGGATTTGCAGGGGACACAGGAACAGAGCACACAGACAAAGATCCCCGGTAGAGACATTGCAGACTGTTGAGGGAAGTGCTCTTAGTGAACGCCAATGAAGGGCAGTACGGCACACGAGGGGGTGGGTGGCCAGCACCACCCCGGCCACCTTTTCTCTCTAGTGGCGATGTCTACACACCACATCAGTTACTCATTTGAGGCTGAGTCGATGTAGGGGAGGCCCAGGACCGGTTCAGATAATCGTCACTGGTATTGGCCGTGAGCGGGAATCGACCGTGATCTCAGTTTCAGTTTCATTTATTTGGTATAGCCCTCTGAGCCATTTGGCTCTTGAATTAGGTGCAACCGCAACAAACAAAAACATGAACAAGAAAACATCTTAAAGTGATTAAGCGCAAACAGAAAAATCCTGGAAAAAGTAGCAAAAATCTTCCAGAAAAAGCACCGTACACCAACGTTGTGTGCAAAAATCCCAATGGAATGCAAGTCAAACAACAACAACAACCACAGGACAACTTAGATTAAAGCCATCAGTCTAACTCAACAAACAAACATGGCCAAACCAAAAAAAGTTTTCGAAATCACCAACGTAAAGCGATCTCACACACACACAGACCCACCCACTCTGTTCCCGTCTCACACTGGACGTGTCTCTGTGTCTCCCCGCAGGAGGTGGACAAGTGCCTGGTGGACGGGGCGGATGAATACCTGCAGATGCTGGCCCTGTGCTCCGTGCTTATGACGCAGTTCAATCGCCCCACGGAGTGAAACGCGGCGTCCAGATTGCGTCACGACATCGCAACGTGTGAAACCCGTGCCACTCCATGTCACACACAAACCTTAAGCCAAGCCTTCTGGCTCGAAAAAGTCGAGGGTTGATTTCGTAAACAAGCATTGCGTTGATTCAAGATCGACATAATCTTGCGGCGATTGAATTGCAAGCCCTCCTTCGATTTTGGAATATCACGACTCTCAGATTTATTCCGTGTCGCATTCCGGAGCATAAAATGTCTTGTTTCCTTATCACGCACACCGTGCGTCGGTTTTTAGAGGAGGGGAAGGGGGCAGGGGGGGGCTGTGGTGAATGTTTACGTTGGGGCCACGTTACTTGGTTTGGCTAAAGTGAGGACTGTTGATACTCTGTAAAATATAAGACTGAACGTGTTGGCGTTATGAACGACTAAAATAAAAGTGCATTTTGTTGCTGTCGTTTTCCCATGGTCGAATCGCCCGGAATTTGCCTTAAGGGGCCATCCATTTAGTACGTACGCAAAAATCTATTTCAACTTGACCCCTCCCTGTTCGCACGCGTACTTTTTACACCCTCCCCATCTGGGCACGTTCGCCTGATGCACCCCCCCCCCCCCCGAATCCTATAGAACGGCCGATATTTAATCTACGCAGAAACGATCGAGGATTAATAATATTAACGTAACGTCATGGGACCTCCTTTGCCAGTACCAAAATATGAGAATAGGGTTTCCCCTTTTTTCTGGCAACAAACAGCTGTGTTAAGATGTTAAAACACCAAACTAATACATTTTGCAAGGAATCATGTCTGCATTAACCACAATACTTGCAGTCAAATGCATACAAAAAACAATACTCTGATAATTTATGCATTGTCCTTGAAACTGGTTGGTCCACACCAGAGACAGCTTTCTTTTGAGCCTCGTCTTAAAACGGTGTTAGACCAGAGGATGCTTGTGTTGCGATTGAAACGTTGTATTTTGTGATTTTCTTTGAACCTATCTACGTGACTTTACCGAATGACCCAAAGAATATGAATTCCTGCAGTCACGAAAGCTTTAAGTCAAGATTCAGATTTCCAGCTCCCGTCTACCCATCTATAACTATTTTGATCTTGGTCCGTCTTCAATAGCCGCCTTGAGTATAAACACTCCAATGTGTTGACCAGTTGTCCCTACAAACAGGTTTCTTGAACTGTTTTGTGAACCTGTAATTTCGTTTTTGCCCATATTTATTTTGAGTCCAACTTTGCAGCATTATTGAGTGCGTAATTTGATCGATTCCGAGGACTCTTGCCATTGGTCATTACTTCTCTGTCAATGTCTTTATTTCTCCAGTCCTGTTTTCATAAAGCATCGTCTCTTGTCACCGAGTAACTTTGTTGAAACCGTGTTTCCCTGTCCGACTCCTTACAATATATAATTGTCTTCAATACCTCGAAGAGGGGTGAGGGTTGGTGGACCACACAAATGTTGTGAAGCTCCCTTTCTTTCTGTGGGCATCTAGGAGGAAGCTGATCCCTGGCAGTCCAGACGGTGGTAGCAGCAAATGTGGACCCCCACTTGGCCCCCTTCTTTTTGGGGTAGAGTGTTGCCCCCCTCCCCACGCAAGCGTGGATTTTCTCTGCTGCAGTTTCCTCCCACGTGTAAACAATCATTGGCCAATAACCCCTTGATAAAAAAAGGAACGCAGAGCTTTGGGGGGGAATCTGTAGCCGGCTCACTGCCTCTGCCGCTCGTTTGGTTCCTCGTGTGTCTGAGAGAGAGCGAATCATTTGAAAACAACGAATTCGGATTTGGGAACGGGTTGTCTACCATTCACTACATAACAGGTTTTTTGGTTAGATTGCGTAAATATATAAATGTGTCGTTAAAACCCGCCACCACCCGACAGCCAACTAGTAAGGATTAGACTCGGTAGATATTGATACAGTCACCCAAGCTCTCACAAACCGAGGTCTGCATTCAAAACATTGAGAAGCAATTGACAAGTCTGTTCTTCCTATGGCAATATAGTCTGGAACTCATGACCCATGAGCTAAGTGGCAATGAATACAACTGGACCTGCGACGCAACACGAGAACAGCGTGCAATGTGTAATTGCATCAAGTGTTTTAATATATAAATCTGTCATGAGTGGCATTTCCATTGCTTTTAAATTGCACGCTTCTTTGACGTCACCAAGCCGTCGCTGCAAATGCAAGACAGCGATTTGAAGCGGCTGCAGCGGGTGCTCCTTGCACCCCATTGGCCGCCTCGCGCACGTGACCACTCGAGGGGTGGTGGTGGGGGGTGTGGATGTCACGTGCAGCCTTCGCGACCAATCGCGCGTGCCAAATCTCGCGAGATTTCCGCTCCCCCCCCACCCACCCGGGGATCTCGGATCGAGAATTTTTTTTAAAATTCGCCCCCTGCTGCTACGTAACGCTCCTTCTGCTATTGTATCGCCTTTAATTTACATACATAATAAAAAATAGTTTAACATTTTTTGTTAATTAACATCTCCTTAAAATGCTCGGAACGAGACCCTGACTCCTCCCCCACGCCCCCCACCCTCATCCCCCCCCGAACCCACCTAGGGTCAGAGGTCACGGGCCCACGCCGCTCCTCTTGGCCCCCCCAATCCACCGCGATCTTCCCGCCGCACGGGGCCACAGCCCCCCCCCCAACCCCCCCACAGCCCCCCCCCCAGTCGGGGCCCAGGGCTCGAGGCGTCTGGTGCCGTCTCGCTTCGAGGCTTCCCTCTCGCTCGGGGCTGCTGGGTCCGAGGCCTGGGATCGCGACAGACGCTGGGCTGGGTGGCGAGGCGGGCTGGGTGGCGACGGCGGTGAGAAGCCCGCGTGCTGGGCCGGGCCTGGGTCCCCGCGCGTCTGTGCCGAGTTGGTGGTGGTGGTGGAGGCTCCACCACCCACCCACCGTGGTGGTGGTGGTGGTGTTGTTGGTGTTCTCTACCCCCCCACCCCACCCTGGTTCTACTCGAGCTGTTGGTGGTGTTGTGGGGTTTGGCGGTGGTGGTGGTGGTGTTGTTGTTGGTGTTGTTGTTGTGGGGTTTGGCGGGAGGAGGGTGGTGGTGTTGGTGGTGGTGTTGTTGTTGTTGGTGGTGGTGTTGGTGTTGTTGTTGTGGGGTTTGGCGGGAGGAGGGTGGTGGTGTTGTTGGTGGTGTTGTTGTTGTGGGGTTTGGCGGGAGGAGGGTGGTGGTCTCTCTTCCTTGGGGGGGAGTTTCGGAACTTTTGCCCGGGGGCCGCTCCAAGTCGACTGTCGGGGCCGCGCGTGGCCTGGAACTCCGCGCGTCCTCCATCCAACATCCACCGCCAAGTCGTCCTCCTCGTCCACGACGTCGTCCACTCTGCCCGTCGCAGTCTCGAGCAGCGACGGCCGCCGCCGCCGCCGTCTCTCAGCACCCGAGGAGCTTCCTCGCGAGTGTCGCTGCCGCTCCCCGCCTGGTCCCTGGGCCCCGGCTCGGGCCCTGCGGCCCACTTGGGCCTCGCGGCTGCCGGCCGGCAGCATGAACGCCACGTCGCTGTACGCGTCCACGTGCCGCTGCGTGCTGCGCTGCGACCCGCGCAGGCCCGGGAGCCTCAACGACGTCTGCAGACTCCTGCCCAGCCTGAGGCAGGCGCTGTCGTGCTGCGTGTGCGGTGAGAGGCGAGAGAGCGAGACACCCCCCCACCCTCACCCCCCCTCACCCCCCCTCACCCCTACACCTCACCCCCCCCATCGCCCCCCCCTCATCCCTCACCCTCCCTCACCCCCCTCTCATCCCTCACCCTCCCTCACCCCCCTCTCACCTCACCCCCCCCTCACCTCACCTCGCCCACCCTCACCTCGCCCACCCCCCCCACCTCGCCTCACCTCACCTCACCTTACCTCACCCCCCCTCACCTCACCCCCCCCTCACCTCCCCACCTCACCCACCCCCACCTCACCTCACCCACCCCCACCTCACCTCACCCCCACCACCTCACCCCCACCTCCCCACCTCACCCCCACCACCTCACCCCCCCTCACCTCACCCCCCCCTCACCTCCCCACCTCACCTCACCCACCCTCACCCACCCCCACCTCACCTCACCTCCCCCCCACCTCCCCACCTCACCCCCACCACCTCACCCCACCCCACCACCTCACCCCCACCCCCACCACCTCACCCCCACCCCCACCACCTCACCCCCACCACCTCACCCCACTCCGCCCTCCTTCCCACCACCCCCCCCCCCACCGCGCGGCCCTAGATCAGCACGGTTGGCTACGTACGGTGCGAACGAAGTTCCACGTACATTGAGCTCTGGAGAGGCGTGGGGTGCGAGGTGGACCGAGGGATGTCTCCCTGACCCTCCGCTTTCCCATACCGTGTCAACCCATACGGGTTTGGTCCATACAGCCCTTTCAATACGGGCAAACAATGTCAATGTTTTGTCAGTTTGTGTTTCTCCCTTGTGATGGGACTTTGTAGGATGAACGTTGAGATGTATAAGGGGCACGTGGTGACCAACCAGGTCTGAATTGGTCTGTAACAAAACAGGGCACCGATTAGGGGCTGCCGGGTGTGGGTTTCTCCCGCACGCGGGAGCCAAACGTGAGTGGAATTGGCCAAACATCCACATCGATGCACGGGTCGGGGAGAGGGGGGTGGAGGAGACCAGGACAGTCTCGGGTCGTCATTCGCCACTGATGTCAGCCGTGTCCCGGAATCAAACTCGGGTGGCCAACGCCATCGGTTCGTTGGTCCGGTGCGCAGTCCGTTCTCTAAACATTCGGTTGTGATGTTTATCAACGAAACGATGGTGGGGGGTGGGAGAGGTGTTAGGGATGGGGTGTGGGATGAGTTATTAGTGACGGAGGTGGTGATGGGAGTGGATTGGTGGTTGGTGGTGATGGCAATGGGAAGTGAATGGAGATGATGAGTTGGTGAATGGGGGGATGGAGGGGGTGTATTGGTGATGGGGAGGTTATTTAATGGAGAAAAAAATTCCTTTGGATTTCACATCAGATGATGATTGCTTGTGTTGCAGTCGAAACGTCGTGAGAATTTTATTGTTTTATATATTTATTTTATTGTTTCCCTTCTGCGTGACTTTACCGAAAGAACCAAGAATAAGCTTAGCACTGTTGAGACTGGGTTAGGGGGCAGTTCCTGCTCGGGGTTGATATTCCGTGCTTACGGAGCTGTGGAGCCGTGCAGCTGCGAGGTGGCCAGGAGAGACGGTGCTGCTGAGCGTCGTCGCCTGCTACGAGCTTCTGGGTTTTCACCGAACTCCCTCAGGTTTCCTCCCACGTGAAGTCAAACTCCCATCCAATAATGGAATTGGCCAAACATCCCAAAAAACAAAACTTTTTTGTTTTATTTTACCAGGTAAGGCCATCTGAGCTATGCAGCTTTTTTTCAGAAGTGACCTCGCCACAAATGATAGCTCAACGAAGTGGCTTATCGCGTGGAAATCTATAAGCAGTGAAATACGATAAATGCACGTTTCTAAATGTGGAGGGGAAAAACCGGAGGACCTGGAGAAAAATCCACGCGACCACGGGGAGAACATGTAGACTCCAAATATACAGCAGGCGTCAGGGTCGGGATCGAACCCACAACTTCCTGCTTACCAGGCTAGGCAGTTAACATCTCATAGCCACCTTGGTGTCGCTACATCGCAATGTAGCAGCATCCTGTTGAAAGAGAGTGAGGCTTTCCTGGGTAAGTTAGAGGGCATTGGTGAATTTAGACCGAGAGAATGTCCTTGATTCGTGACGTGTTCCATACATCTCCTTCTGCTGTTGTGGTCCTGTTACATCCCTAGTCCTCCACAATGGTGTGAGGTTAATAGAGTCACTTTACATCGGTTTTGAAATGTTAACGTTTTCTTTCCCCGATGTTCCCCATTCCTACATCAACATGACTTTGTCCTCGTTCGTCTCCACCACCTTCATCATCATCACTACTATCATCACAACCACCACTATCATTACTGACATTCATCATCACTATCAACACCATCATAACCACCACTGCTAACATAATGCCACCACCACCACCGCTATCACCACAAGCACCACCACAATCACCACTACTGTCACTTCCACAATCACCACCACCACCTCTCTCCCCCCTCACTCACCCCCCACAGCCCAGCTTCTGGTGGACCCGATGGTGCCGGCGAACGGCACCTGCCAGCACTTTGTGTGCCGCGCGTGCCGGGGCCAGCGGCTGCGTGTGCGTCCCCCGTGCTCGTGCTCGCGCGACCCGCACGCCCCCTACTCCGAGTGCCGGCAGCTGGCGCTGCTGCTGGCGTGCTACCGCACCCTCTGCGAACACCTGCTGGGCTCCCACATCGGCCGCGCCATCGCCTCTCGCGCCAGCCACGAGCGCCACGGCCTGGTCCGTGCCGCCGACGACTCGACCGCCGACGCCGCCGCGGCCGCCGCCGGTGCCGCCGCCTGTGCCGCGGCGACGACGGCGGTAGCCGGCGACGGGGACGCCGGCGGGGGCGGCGGCGCGAGCCGCGCGGACAAACCGCCGCAGGGCGCCGGGGTGACCAACGGTGACGCCGAGACTAACGGCGACGAAAGCGGCAACGAAAACGGCGCCAAGAAGCCGAAGAGCAATGGCGGCGGCGGTGGTGCCGGTGGCGCCGGTGCCGATGGCGACCGGGGTCAGGACGACGGTCGCGACGAGCGCCCGGAAAACGGTTCCACCGCAGGAATGGAATTCCTGGCTGCTGGAGAGAGTGGCGGTGGCGGCGGCGACGGCGCAGAGGGGAGCTCCTGTGTCGCGGGGTCAGACGCCCCGATGGGTGCGACCGCCACCGATGTCATGGCCGGGAGCGTCGCCGGAACGGGGTCGAGTTTGAACGATGGCGGCGGCGGCGGCGATGGCGACACCGCGGCGGAGGGCGGCGTCGCCGGGTCCGTGGCGGTGGCGGCAGACGGCGGCGGCGGTGCGGGCGCGGTGATGCGCGCGGGGATGGTGGACGTCCTGGCCATCCTGCGCGAGGGCTTCCCCGAGTCTAACGGCGACTCCCTCAACGGCAACGGCGACGCCGAGCACCTGGGGCGCCGCCGGCGCCGCCGGCACCGGCACAGGCGGCGGAGGAGGCACTCGGACTCGGAGTTGAACTCGGACTGGGAGAGGTTTTCGGATTTTTCCAAAGCTTCGTCGTCATCGTCGTCTTCCTCGTCGTCGTCGTCGTCATCGGCGTTGGACTCGGACGAAGGCGGCGCCCGCTTGGACCGTTCGGCCGCAGCGCCACCGCTGGTGAACGGGCGCGCACGCAAAGTTCGCGTCGCCGTCATCCGGTGCGACGTCGCCATCGCGTGCAACCTCCAGCGCGAGGAGGAGGAAGAGGAGCGCAAACAGCAGCAGCTACAGCTGCAGCAGCTACAGCTGCAGCAACAGCAGCAGCAACAGCAGCAGTTGCAGCAGCAGCAGCAACAGCAGCTACAACAGCAGCTGCAGCAACAGCAGCAGCAGCTGCAGCAACAGCAACTCCTACTCAGCCAACAGCTGCAGAACAAACAGCAACAGCAACAACAGCAGCAGCAGCAGAAAAAGAAGATGAAGCTGGAGTCCCAGACGCTGAGCAGCTTTGCCGTCGGTCTTGGCGCCAATTCGACAATGGGCGTTGTTGTTGTCGGTAGTGGTGGTGTCAGCCTGGACCTCGCCGCTCGCAGCGTGGCGACGGTGGTGACGTCAGCGGCGGCGGCGGCAACGGTGGCGGCGGTGCCAGCGACAGCAGCGACGCCGATGGTTGCACCGACCCTGGCGACGCCGGCGGTCGCCACGGCAGCCAACGGCAAGAACCAGCGCAAGCGCTCGCGGTCAGACGGTGACGGAGCCCTCTTCACAACGCCACAGCCACCGCAACCGCAGCCATCGCCGGCGACAGCGGCAGCAGCGCCACCCAGTCAACACCACCACCATCACCAACACCACCTGCACCAGCAGCATCAGCAGCATCAGCAGCATCAGCAGCACCAGCAGCACCAGCAGCACCATCACCACCAGCAGCAGCAGCAGGCTGCGGTGGTGGTGGTCGGCGGGAAGCCGGTACAGCCGGTTCCCGCACCGAAGACAACGGCTAAAAAGCACGGGGGCGCGGGTGCCGGCGCCGCCAGGAAGAACGGCGCCAAACCTCGCTCCGGCGGCGGGGGAGGCGGCGGGACCTCACGACCGCCCAAGCGGAAGCCGCCAGCGGCCGGTGGCGCGGGCAGCCCCTACCTGGTCTCGTCGTCGCTGGCACAGACCACGGTGTCGGCGCAGCACGTGGCCGCGGCCGCGGCGGCGGCGGCCGCAGCGGCCGGAAAGAAAAAATCGTCCATGTCGGCGTGCGTGGGCGCCCCCTCGGGCGCGATGCAGCCGCCTTCCTCCGCGGCGGCCTCCGCCGCTGCCGGTGGCACCGCGACCACCTCCTCCTCCGCGTCGTCGACATCGTCGTCGACGACGACCACGGCGACGACGAAGAAAGGTTGCAAGTGCGGGCGTGCCACGCCCAACCCCAGCGTGCTAACGTGCCGCGGCCAGCGCTGCCCGTGCTACTCGAACCGGCGCGCCTGCACCGAGTGCGTGTGCCGCGGTTGCAACAACTCGTACTCGGAAGATGGCCGCAAGAAGCTGGAGGCGTTCGCGGTGCCGGAGATCGCGCTGGCGAGCGAGCAGCGTGCACTCGGCCTGCACGGCACCGTCGGCGCCGTCGTCGGCTCGGCGAGCGGCACCGGCGGCACCGGGGGGCTCTCCTCGCAGTTTGGGAGCCTCGTAGCCGAAGCTCGGACGATGATGTCGGTTTCGGTGGCGGGCGGCGGCAGCGGCGTCGGCGGCGCGGTGTTCTCCAGCGCCGGCTCGCCGTACGGATTGGGGCTGCTCGGCAGCGGCGGTGCCGGCGGGGGACCGGTCGGCGGTCTCGGCGGCGGCGGCGGCGGCACCGCCGGGTACGGCAGCCTGGGCCTCGGCATCGGTCTGAACCTTGGCCTGAGTGGCGCCGGGTTTCTTAGCGTGGCGGCCGGCACGGGTTTCGACGGGAAGGACGGCGATGAGGATATTGACATCACGTGACCTCGTCGCGGGGGTGGGGGGTGGACGCTGCTTCGCGTGCCCTCGTCGGGAGGTCTTGCGGAACATTCTCGCGGAGCCGGAACCGGTAACAACGACTCGTGTTCGCGTGTTGCGCCCGTAATCTAACGAGAGTCTCAGCAGTTTTTCTTTTTTACCTCGGGGTTCCTCCGATGGCAGTTGTCCCTGCGTGACGCTGCGTGACACTGTGTGATTGAGCGGCTCAGTGTTTTTATGCCGCCGGCGCGTTTACCGACTGAATGGGGGACTTGATGTTCGCGCACACGTGCACACGTGCACACGCGTGCTCGCGCACACACAGAGACAAAGATCCCCTGTACAGCCTTAACATACTGATGGGGCAAGTGCTGCCCGCGAGCACCTACGAAGGGTGGCACGGGCACACGAGGGGGTGGGTGGCCGATACCACGCTCGGCCGCCTTTGTCTCCTCGGTGGCGATATTTACACACTGCACCAGGTACTCGTTTGAGGTTGGGTCGACCTAGGGGAGACCCATGACTGCTTCAGATAGTCGTCGCTGGTGTTGGCCGTGAGCAGGCATCGAACTTGGGTTGCCGAGTTCGTAGCGCAGTGCGCTAACCACTACGCTACCACTCCCCGCACACACATGCTACACACACTCCCACTCCCCGCACACACATGCTACACACACTCATGCAGCAAACGCACACACATGCTACACACACTCGCACTCCCCGCACACACATGCTACACACACTCATGCAGCAAACGCACACACATGCTAAACACACTCATGCAGCAAACGCACACAGCCTTTGTGCTGTCAGGCCGGGGCTAGGGGGGACATCACTGTCATCTTCTTCTTCGCGTTTGTTTTCTACGCCTAAATATTCGTTTTTATCAGTAGCGGTGGTGGGAAAGTCTTGTCCATGCTTGGTCACCAAAACGATGGGCTTCGTAAGAGCCAGTGGTGGAGTGAGGTGGTGGTGGTGGTGGTGTCGAGGCAGGAGGCGGTGGTGCTGTGACTGAATATTGGAGGAAGTGGCCAGGAGCTCGGGGATGCTGAGCCGGTGTTACAGAGAATATATTTACACTCCCCACAAACAAATCTACATTCATTCCCTCCAAAGGAACGAATACAAGTTTGTTCCCACCGGCGGACATTTGTTTCCCACTACTCCGTGTACTTTTGAGCGATTGCGCCCTAGAAATATAAATTATGATTAAGTTAGCTTTCCGGATGATGGTTAGTCAGGCACTACAATGGTTAAGATAACATTCAGACTAACCGGATGCTTGAAAAAGTAAAACACCGAAACTATAACAAAAGCAACCTGAGCCACTTGATCCCCGATCAATCTTGGACACTGGTTTTACATTTTAGCATCGTGAAAATGCACGGATATATACATGCTAATAAAGATCTCCAAATATTGGTTTCTAGGGATAATCAATACTCTTGCCTGGGGCAACCAGTATTTGGAGGGTCCTATATTCTCTGACAGTGGCACCGATGAGTTGCTGGATTAAAATCCAGGAAGTCTCACCTCCTTGACCCGCTCGAGAATGGTGGTAACCCCCGACTAAGGCTCCGACTTCTCCATTCCTCCTCCTCTCTCTCTCTCTTAAGAGAGATATTCCCTACATCCTGGGGAAACCGAGGCGGTGTGGGTTCAGTGATTGTGAGTGGAGGAGGTAGCGAAGTGACAACTCGATGATTTAGCGTCCATCAACATCGACGAGTCTTAATCGCGCGTGGGCTATTGGACTCCTCGGTTTGTAGCCGTCGTGCGCAAAACCTGCGGCTACTTGCTCTTGAATTGACGGACCGATTTGTCGCGCCCCATCGAATCGCGAGGTCAATCGATCATAGACCAGCAGTCGATCGACGAGTGTGGCAAACGAGTCGACCGAGATCACCACGACACGGGGCATTTGTTCGACAGAGACGTCGATCAACGAGCAAGAAGACTGTCACGAGTGAGATGATCGATTGGTATCCATCTCTTTCCTTTTACAATTTCTCTTTTGCAGAATCGTCGCTTTTGTCACTTCTCCGTCACCCTCGTACGACAAGAAATGTTTCGTTGACGAACAAAAATGAAGGCACTCAACTTTAATTTCCACTGGCAAAGCAGAGCGGGTTTCTCTTTTGCAGTCGGTTTAGTTTAGTCGATCGAGCGAAGATTCAACTGGACGCAGGGGGTGGGGGGGGGAGGGTCTCGCGTAGTTTTTGGAAGCGGCGGCAGCGCCGCTGACAAATCTGGGAGCGGCGTTGAACGCGACGACCTCGCCGCGACTAGGCGGCGACAACTGGCCCTGAACCCTCGCGCCCCCTCGCCCTCTGCGTTCCTGTTGCGGGCAGGTTGCATTGAGAAAACACAAGTCGAGTGAGAGTCCTCTCTGAAGTGGCACGGCGTTCGGTAGATGCCAAGGGATCCCTGAAGTCGATTTTTTACGCAACCGAGACCCCCCCCCCCCACCACACCAGCTGCTGTTTTGTGTCAGTGGGCCAAGTTCCATATCATCCTTTAATATTGTATTTGGGGTGTCATTTTGACAGGTAATTATCAGTAGTGTGGAACAAGTGGGATGGTTCGATGCCCGCACGAATCGCCCACCATCCTGGCGCGGGTGAACACGGCAGTCCGAGTCCGTCCAACAACCGCGGTGTTTTATGAGCGTTGACGGTGGAGACGCCTTTTTCCTGTCCGAATCAAAGTCCTATTTGGTGAGCGCGCTATGCGCCCAAGTAATCCGTGACATAATCACACTAAACATTCACCCACATCTTTTGAAGTGCACGTACGCGAATCCGCGGATCGTCCCATCAGAAGGTGTCGGGGTGTCGCCGCTGCGGTGACTGAAGGAAGTCCTGAGTGTAACTTTACGACGTTTTTTTTGTCCTCGTTAACGACGCTTCAGACTCGTGTGGAACGGTGCCAGGAGAACGGAGGCGTTCGTCTTGGGTCGTGTCTGTAACCTTCACTTAACCGTCACTCAACCCCGACCCTCAACCTTAAGTCGCTGAGTTATTACCGAAGCCTGACTATCATACGCGATCTGGACCGGTTTACCGTTGACCAGAGGTCGCAATCGGGTACCCGATACCCGTACCCTACCCGATACCCGGCTACCCGTACCCAGCCGGGTACGGGTACTGGTACCCGTTTGCGACCCTGGTGCGGCCGGGTACGGGTAAGGAATCAAAACCTGTTTGCGACCTCTGCCGTTGACTAAACCCGAACCCTAAGCCTAACCCACATTGTGGTTAAGCCATGACATAACCCTATTCCTACCCACACGTTTAAACAAAAAGTGTGAAGTGTGAATGGGTTAACCGTGACCTAACTCCCCACGGGTGCTTGGACACGTGATGGATGTCACCTGGACTCATTTGTAAACGGACCCCCCTTCCCCCCACCAACCCTGATGGGGAATGAACGGTTTGAAATTCGCAGGAGTTCCCACATCGTGATCAAAGAAATACAATTAAAAACCCACAATATTGTTCATTAAATAACACCGCCATACATTTAACATTTCATTTTATAATACGTAATATATGATTTTCACACACATGAAGGCAATCGTTGAGCTAATGCTGGAAACTTGAGGTTTCTCTTGATGATGGTTCCCGCTCAATGCATTGGGGGTTCGCCCCGAGGCTCGCGGATCTGGGTTGAACTCCACGTGAAGTGTCTGTGTGTGGGGAGTGCCTGGACAGTTTTGTGTTGTGTACAAGTTATACGCTTAGTCACACGTGTCAAGTTGCCATTTCTGAGGTACATAATGGGGGGGGGGGGGTACTTTCAACGGGAGTAATCAAATCTCGGTGCTCGCGGAGGGGGAGAACGACACAGAAATGCGTAGTATTATGCAATAAACAAAAACAACTTTTAATTCCTAGAAAGACTTACACATTTCCCAGGACAGCTACCTCCGCGGCCAGAGGAGGTTCCTGGGAAAACCATGACCTGGTGGAAAACCATATTCGCATCTCGTGTGTAAGCAACTCTTGCCGGCAGACGGAAGTACAGGAAGTAGGTTTGTGCGTGTGGGATTCCCGACCCGCACAGGTTATCAATGTGGTGTCTGTAGGTGGCAGTACGGCAAGTCGGTCGATGTCATTGTTGAGCCCTTGTGTGTAGTGGAATGTTGAGTGGTGTTTCCCCTCGTGTGCTGCATGGGTTTTGTGCAGGCTCCTTCGCAGGCAAATCGATAACAATTTCCTCCTTGGCCAAACATCATCATACAGGACACTCCGGAATGAGTCTTGAGACTCGGTGAGGCTTGCCAAGGTTAATAAAGGACGATTGTTACGACTGAAGCGTCCAAACTATTGTAAAACAGTGGGTGATGGAACAGATGTCAGGCTAGGGATATAGAGCATTATAATTAAAACAATTTGTACTGCTGGTTGAAGGCTTCCCCACGTCGTGTTGGTCGTTGGGCTGTTTGACCATACTTCACCACGCCGGTCAACGCTGGTTAGCGAAATGAGAGAGTCCAGGACTGTTTCGGATATTGCTGAGGTTATCCCCAGGCCAGGAATTGAACTGGGGTCCATAGTGCAGTACCAACAACAAGCGTGCCCACTGCTGCACCACCTTGGCTAAGCGACGGTGAATTTCACCGACTCAGCTCCTCCAGGGCCTGGGTTTGAGTTCGGTTCCTCCGACTCTGAGTCTCCGTGGTTAAGATGAGGTCCCAAAGCGGGCTCTATCCTGTCGCAGGCCCATCTCTGGTCAGGTGAGAATCACAAGATTCCATTCAGGTTAAGCTGCGACAGGAAATTTGAATGAGGGCCAGGGGGTAGTGGAGTGAAATGAATGCCTTTTACCAGGGTACATGCCAACCACACTACACCGCTGACTACCACTCGACCACACCGCGACCCAGACTACCCAGTGGTGTAGTTGCTGTCGAGTGTGCAGGTGTTGCAACTGCACCACGCTACGCGACTTCCATCGCCCTCTGACGAGTTCACACCTGTGCCTCGTGCCCTTTAGTGGCAACACGACTCTAGAGTGGAGGGGGGTAAGGGTGCTGTAGATACCGAAGACTTGCTCAAATAAAAACTCATTCAATAATTACCAACAAATAATTCGATTTTGAAGACTGCAGCTGCTTAGGTTTGGTGGCCCCTATTAAAGAAACGACGACCGTGACAAAAATAAAATTTGTCTGGAGAGCGGAGGTTCCCTAACCCGGGATGTGAACACATTGTTGCTGGGGGTGATGATTATGTGAATTGCTATCATTGTAATGATACGATTGTTTTGTTTGTATAATTACCATTCACTTCGATGGGTTGTTGTTGAGGCTCCGAGGCATTGCTAAAGAGCTACCTTTGATGTTGAATCTTTTTTGACAGCCCAAGTTGCGCGGCAGCTAAACTTAATAATCATCGTCGTAATGGTGGGTGTGGGTTTGTGTGTGCGTATTGATGTGGTCGTGGTGCCCACATTGCCCCACTGTCCCGACCACCTGAGTTCAACTCCTGGCCGTGACAACCACCACCACCCATCATCAAATACTACGATCCCTCATATAGCCTTAACAGACTGTTGGCCACCCACCCCCTCGTATACCGTGCTGGCCTTCATAGCTAACAGCACGAACCATCATCATCACTGCCACCATTGTCACCACCACCCTCATCGCCACTACCAGCAGCATTACCACCACTGGTCAATTGGCATCTGCCCTATGGATAACCTGGGTCCTACCATGGGAATGTGGAATTTCCACTACTGCTGGAATTTGACCAAGAAAGATGAGCATCACCAAAGGCTCATTTGTGCATAGACTCTTTGACTTAGATTTACCTGACCTGGGCCTCGCCTTGGTCGACTCGGCCCTAAATGAGTATCACCTCTTGTGGCGGTGGTGTTGGCGGCTTTGGTGTTGATACAAATTAATTACGTTTAGTGGGAGTGAGACAAAGGCGGCTGGGCGTGGGGGACGTGCGCCTGTGCGTGGTGCTGGCTCACACGTGTCCCGTGAAGGCCTCAAACAGGCACCTTGCAGGCTGTGATGACATAACGTGTCCGTGTGTACGTGTCCGCGTTGATCATTGTATTAACACCCAGTGTAACGTGTTTTTGACCTAGTGTTAACATTAGCCTTTTACAAGAAAAATAAACGAATACGTATAAAAAACACAACCCCCCCCCCCCCGCTTCAACGACGCGTGCCTTCGTGTGTAACGCAAGCCCCACCACACGTCCCAGTAAACTGGAACGCTGGGCCAAACGTTCCAACGTTACTTGGGCAGAGGGCAGGGCTAACTGCGAGTAGTGGGCAGAGCGAGTGGGACCAATGTGGGCCAAAAACCCAAGTTCACCACCCCCCCCCCCCCCGCTGGTCTCTGTGTATGGGTGGCCGTGTAAAACTGGCCAGGGCTGTGAGCTCACCACGTGTGCTGGTTAAGTCTCTCAGACATCTGCCTGCTTTCAGAAAGCAGGCTCAAGGTAGAGAAATGCTCAAGTTTAGTTTTTTGTTATAATGGCACCCGTCGGATATGCTCTCCTCCCCTTTGGACTGTCGAACCGGTACTTTTGCCCAGGAAAAGCCAAAGCAGCCTCGTCCATACATTCATGCATTCATGGAACGACGTAGATCAGCCACTGCTTCTCATACAGGTCGACCAAACCTGCAATTGTACGTACAAATGTACAGCGCTTTGTCAAGCCACTACTGGATGAGGGCCTCCCCACGCCGTCTTATTTTGCCGTACATTACCACGCTTGTCAGTGCGGGTTTGTGTGCAGTCATATCTGTGCAGCACAAGCACAGATTGTACTGCAATACCCACAGTGTACCCCTGCAGCAGCGTACAGCAACATGGGTGAAAGTGATGGCACATGCGCAGATATCTACCCGTCACTGGTGGTTTTCTTAAATCGTTTATTTAAATTGAGCGATGCTGTGATTGTCATGCGCCGAACACTCTTTGCATAGTATACGAGGTGGTGCCGCCCACTCGCGTGGGGGATGCGACGCAACTGAAGGGACCGACTTCAGACGTCTAGCCCCTCCCATGTGTTTTTTTTGTATGGCTGTTCCCGCACGTCATTGGGCATTGAGCGAACTGAAATCTGGACGCTTTTTCAGGAACCGAATTCAAGTTGCCAACAACGACGGCCTCTGAATTTGCAACTGCAAATTGCTGCGCGTTCCTCTCAAAACGGCAACCGAATTCGCCTCCTGAAGGAGCTCCCAGCGCAAAACGTCGGCACGTCGAACGGCTCGTGGGCCACAGCCACCAAACACGCGGGAGAGCTGTACGATAACGGGCACAAAAGCTGACGCGGTAGTTCGCAAGTACAGTAAAACCTTGGATTGCGAGTAACTTGGTCTGCGAGTGTTTTGCAAGATGAGCAATTTTTTTTTTATTTGATAAACGAGCGAGGTCTTGCAATACGAGTAGTACGTGTAGACGCTTCGTCTGCCGAGCGTCACGTGATCACAGCTGATATACGAGTGCTTTGGATTACAAGCACGTTTCCGGAACGAATTATGCTCGCAATCCAAGGTTTTACTGTAGTTCCCACGACGTCATCTTCAGCAGCCATCCTCCCCGGATGTTCAACCGCTCTCGGCGAGAGTTGCCAAACAAACGTTTTTTTTTTCCCCTTCATCTCAAGACGGTAATGGCGATAGGGAGGAAAAAAACTAAAATAATTTAGAAAAAAACATAACAGTAACATACAAAAGTCCGGAAACACGAGTTTCCAGAACTGTCAGCTCCAACACGGGCACGCAGGTGTATACACAGGTCAAGTTTGCGTACGAGAGACCGCATACGGACTGCGACACACACATACCTCACGCGTGTAATGCATCACGCTTAACCATTCACGCGTTGCGCCAATAGCGCCTATCAAACGTGTCCAGCTTTCTCCCGACGGATGGACAGAAGGAACGATTGTGTACGGTTTCCCCTCCCCTCTCCACACCCCCACGCGTTCATCCGTCTGTCACATACACAAAGGGCTGCGATTGTAATGGAACGATGCTTGGAGCTGTTCTAGCCTTACACGAGATTAACCGGGCATTATAGCCCAGGCTCTCAGCCTTGCCCTCAGCCTCACCTACTACGATGAGCTGTGGACTGAGTAGAGATACTGCCAGAACACGGTTCAAGGTTCAAACTGACCAAGGGAATGGCACTTCCCCCAGATATCCTTGGAGAGGATTGCATTCCCTGATCGTCCTGCCCTCAAATGCCATGGAAGCTGGTGGTCGAGGGTTGTAGGACAAATAAGTGCATGTTGGTGGAGTGGCAATGACGTGGATTGAGGAGGAGGAGGAGGAGGAGGGAGTTTCTTGTCACCGTCAGCTCTGTGTGCCGAGGCCGCTAATTTCGCCGGCGAGTTCCGCGGCCGCCAGGATGTCGTCTTCATCGTCGATGTCTTCGTCGGACGTCCTGGAAGGGGTTGTTCAAAATGAGAATAATCAAATTTGTTTTACTACCAGGTAAGGCCCACGGAGCTCTATATTTAGTTCTTATTCAGAAATAACCTGGCCACAAATGATAGCTCAACAATGTGGCTTACGTGGACATTTTTAGCAGCCAAAATTTTTACGTGGAGGGAAAAGCCACGACCACAAGGAGAGCATGCAGACTCCAAATATACAGGCGTCGGGGTCGGGATCAAACCCATGACCGCCTGAACACCAGGCGAGGTAGTTAACATCTCGCCACCACGGCAACCCAACATAGTCGCAACCACTAACAGCACAATTACTAACGTCACAACCACAATCGTGAATGTACCAACTACTGACACGGTCACAGGGAGGGACATCACCGTCGCAAACGCAACATCCGCACCCCTTGGTGAGCTGATCCGCCTCGGACTCTTTGGCAACCAGCATCTCGTACTCCTCCATGGCGTAACGCTCCCAGTCGGACAGTTCGGGTGCGTCTCCATCCAAATCCTGCGCACGCACGGCCGCCAGCACGGAGAACGCTGACTTAATCGCTCGCTCACTCAACAGCGTGCGCACACGTAGCTCTCGTACAAGCACAATGGCACTCGTACACTCGTTTGCTCACTAACTCACTCGTTCGCTCACCAACTCAATCATTGTCTCGATCGCTCATTCGCTCGATCGCTCACCGTCTCAATTGCTCACCCTCTCGATCACTCAATTACTCTTACTCCATCATTCTCTCACTCATCCCATCACTCACTTTGCGTCACTTCTCACTCAATCACACTCTCGTTTTCATGCACAGGCTCTCTCGCACGATCAAAACTCGCACACTTGCTTGGTCACTCATTCCTTCTCTCACAATCGCTTGTTAGCCAATGTGTGTACGCGTACGTGGGGGAGCAGTCGTGAAGTGGTTTAGCGAATTGCGTTACAAGCCCGGTGACCCGAGTTCGATTCCCGCCCATGACCAATAACAGTGGCGCATATTCAAACTGGTCCTGGGCTTTCCCAAGGCCGACTTGGGGAGACCAAGGCGTCCAGGGCAGGGTGTTGGCCACCCATCCCTTCGTGTGCAGTGCCGGCCTTCATCTGTGCTCACTAACAGCCCTTGCCCCAGCAGTCTGGTAAAGGCTGCATGGGGGATCTTTGTGTGTGTTGACGTACCCGGGTGATGGCGAACGGCTCCCTCTGCTCGCGGTCGAGGTATTTCTCCAGGTTGAAGAATGTATCCAGGAAAATGTGCGACATTTTACAACGTTTGAGGTCTCCCAACGTCACGCACGCTGCACACACGCAGGCAGGTGCACGCACACGCACACAAACATGCGCTTGTGAGTATGCAAGTGAGAGTGCATTAGTGAGTGTGTGGGTAAAATAGTGCGCTAATAAGTGCAGAGTGCCGGGTGGCTAAAATGCAGCAATTTGGTACAGTTGGAGGCACAGCTGGTGTATCTGCCAGTCATCCTAGTCAACTCATGGCACCTTTATCCCATGACCTGTCAACGAGCCATCGACACTTCACGTGGCCTCAAAGTGCACCTGGCCTGAGCCAGGCACTGTGGTGACAATCACTGTCACTTTGTGGTGTTGTTCTGGCGAGTGTGTGGATGAGATGGAAAGCATAACAGTTTGTGTGCAAACGTATGCGAGATACATGCACCAGTGAGTAAGCGAGCTACTGTGCACATGAGCACACTCGAGTGTGCGCAAGTGAACAAGTGGGCGAGTCTACTGGGAAGTGCACATCAGACGCCGAGCTCTTGAGCTATGAACGCGCTAGTGAGTGCAAAAGTGAGCGAGCAAGTGGGTAATTGGACAACCGTGCATAGGATACAGCGAGTGCCTGAGACGGTGAGCAAGCCAAACACATTGTCCTGTGGAGGGAGCTGGTAGGAACGTTGGGTTGCGCGGACAATGGCCAGGGTCAACAGCGGCGTGGTGTATTCCGCAAATATGCCCGACTGTGAGGGCGGGCACAAGCCGGCGTGAGTAGGTTAAACGTTGAGTTTTATAAGGACATAACAGGGTGACCAGCCCCTCCCCACCCAGCCCCACCCCTCCCCACCCAGCCCCACCCCTCCCACCCCCCACCCAGCCCCACCCTCCCCACCCAGCCCCTCCCCACCCTCCCCTCTCCACCCACCCTCACCCCTCCCATTTTTGGATGCACGACGGATGTACGGACGGACACAATAATCCCCTGTGGGCTGGTGTAACCAGGAGGTTCCTACCAGTATAAGCATACAAGTGCAACGAGTGAGTGCGTGCGAGTGAGCGAGTGTAACACCTGGCCGAACAGGTTTGACGAGGTCGAGCATCTGGCAGACGCAGTCGCAGAAGGGCAGCGGCTCGATGCCCAGCACCTCCATGCGCTGCGCCTGCTCACTGTAGAAGTGCTCGAGCTCGTAGAGAGACAGCACGCCGTCCCCATCCAGGTCCAGGCACCGAAACCAGTACTCGATGCTGGGGGAGCCGAGAGAGCGGAGGGAATGAGGGAGGGGGGTGGTGCGCGTATGGAGGAAGGGGGAATGCGAGGAAGAGACGAGGGGTTCACATGATGGGAGTTGGGGGAGACGATAAGAGCGACCGAGTGCCACGGGTACACGCCGTACAGTGGACGTGTGCGTTCATGCGCATGTGTGTCCGTGTACCTGGTGGGTGTCCGTTTGTCCTCCTCCGACAACAGGAACCACACGAAATCAGCATAGCTCATGCGTCCGGCCTGCTGCGCCATGGAGCCTCTAATAGCACATATACACACACACACACACGCATACTTATACGCAAAGACAAAGATCCCCAGTACAGCCTATGCAGACTGTTGGGGCAAATGCTATTAGCGAGCATCTCTGAAGGCCAGCAGATGCAAACCTCCACAGCCGTGTACAAAAACAAACCACACACAATACGCACGATACATAGGTTTACATGTATATACACATGCGCATACATAGATGCACATACACAACAGTTGCATACCCTTAACTTTATACTCCATGGGGTTAAGTTTTATCAGGGAAGACCTGATAGGGAAGGCCAACAAGGCAAACACAACAACAACCGCCATTCGTCACTAAGTTGCGGTGATGTCACCACGACGCTTGTGCCAGGCCATGTGCACCTTGAGGGCACGTAAAGTGTCGAACGCCCGCTGGCAGGTCACGGGGCAGACCCAGGTGCCACAGGTCGACTGACTGACACGACTGAGATGACTGGCTGATGCACCACCTGTGCCCCCTACTGTGCCAACTTGCTGTGCTTTAGCCACCCGGCGCTCCGCTCGTTGTTGTGAGCGTCGCTCACATACATACACACAAACACATATGTAAGGACAGTACAGCTCCTCATGGCCATGGTTACTAATTGACGCGACGGGCACGCGTAAGGATAGCACGGGACCCAAATGGTCGTAAATAATAATTGAGACAGGGACAGACAGGCCCAGATGAGGTGAGAGAGTGTCCGGGGAAAAGGGACGTGGCCGGGTCGAGGAGTGGATCAAAGCCGGCGTGGACCAGGGCTCTGGGCTGCTGCTGCTGTGGGGGAACCAAGAAACTGTCATCGCCGCCGTCGTCATCTTGGAGCGGGTCGTCTTCATCACCTTGAATCGGGCACCTTGTAGTCTTGCAAGGCTAGAGTTACAGATTGTCTCCGTGACGACTGCGCGTCCGCTCCTGTGTAGCCAGCCAACTACGTGGGGAGCGTCGCGTAGAGTCACAGAAGTTACCCAGCTGTATATCGTCAACTCACGGTTATTCGTTTAATTATCAGTGAATCGTCGGGCTTTATTCCTAATAAACATATACATATAACTGAACAAGATAGTGTCTCTGAGAGCTACATTACACATACATGAACACTCACGCACACTCATATACAGACAAGATTAAAACAGACATATGCATGCACACAAATACGTCTATTTAGAGCGGTGTAGTGTGGAGAGGCTCGCTGGCAGGAGGTTACAGGACAGTCACAGATGTTATGGAGTAACAGACCAGGGTGACTGGCATCACTCTACAATGCCAGCTCACTGTTTGTTATATAGGAGCATTGGAACACACACACACACGTACATTTCAAGACAAAGATGCCCCGTGTTTCCTACATCGACTGTTGGGCAAGTGGGTGCTATTCGCAAGCACCTATGAAAGCTGCCATGGTACATGAGGGGGTGGTGTGGCCAGAACCATGCCTAGCTGCCTCTATCTCCTCAATGCCGATGTTTACACACCACATCAAATATCCAATCAAGACCACGGTGACTTAGGGGAGGCACATAATCGGATCTGATTTCACTTAACGGTGATGTTATCCGTGGCTGGGAAAATAACTCGGGTGGTTGGGTTTGCTGCTTCGTGGGCTAACCACTACTCACTACTCCCCTGATTTGTGCGCATCTACACACAGACACAAAGACAGATTCATAACACAAACTGACACAGATAACGCACGCCAAGACATCTTTGTTGAGCTGTTACGTACAGATATATAAACACACACACACAAAGTCCCACACATGCAAAGACACAACACTCAAGACACACTAAAACCTTTCCCCATTGCGGGAGTTACATTCTTTAAAACATCAGCAGTTGGCATATCCTTGATCCGCAAACTCGAAAGGCACCACCCCCCCCCTCTATTGTGTTTTATGTAACCCTACATTAACCCAAACGTGAAACGTGAAGTTTTTCTTTCAAGTAAAACATTATTATAATTCTCCCCAGTGTTAAATATAATTTGTACAGTCAACGTATAGAATGAAAAAAAAAGAATGTCGTGTACAGTCCTGGACATATTACGCAGTTTAAAAAAAGAACTAAACATTTTTAATTACGATGGATGATGATGATGATGATGGCATGTGTATTCTTCTGCAGCAGCATTATTGTGAGCAGAGTGCAGTTATAGTACCTGTAGAGTAACTCTTTACCATGTGTACTGTCCAGAAATCTCACGGTCAAAATCGTCGAGCGACAAGGGAGCGATCGCGAACTGTACCTCAATACATTTTGTGCAAATGGTCAAATCCACAATGGGAAAACCTTCCATGGGCAAAGTTTTGTTATAGTCAGACACACACTCAGGCAGACTCACTTACCGTGTAACCGCCCCAGAGAAGATCCTGTGAATCATGCAACTCGAAATAGCTGAAATGGGAGATGGAAGATGCACATTAGGATGCACGTTAGTAGTACTCTGTGTGTGTACTCGCCTGTTTCTTTGGATACACTTGCCACTTTTTTGCAGACCTATCCACTGCTGGATGAAGCCCCCTCCCTCCAAACTGTCACCATCTTCTTGGTTCTTTCGGTAAAGTCACGTAGAAGGGAAGTAATAAAATAATAAAAACAAAACATAATAAAATAATTCTCACGACGTTTCGGCCACAACGCAAGCAGCCGTCCTCAGGTGAAGACCACGTCTGTCGGGGGACGGCTGCTTGCGTTGTGGCCGAAACGTCGTGAGAATTATTTTATTATGTTTCATTTCTATTATTTTATTACTTCCCTTCTACGTGACTTTACCAAAAGAACCAAGATGAACCCCTGCAGTCACGAAAGCTTTAAATCGAAACTGTCACCATCTCTTACGCTCACTTGATGCAACAATCCACCCAGCACCTGCACACGAGCCAATCTCATTGCACCATCTACACTGTGGACTCTTTATCGGGCACGTGCCCACTCCTTTGGCTGACATTACATCATTAAGCCTCGACCACCGGGCCATCAACCCTTCTAGCGACTGCCCAAGACCACTGACACATTAAGTCCAGAACTCAATTGAATGTGATGTATGTACGTATGTTGAACTTCTTTCACACGGTACGTAGCCGACCGTGCTAATCAGAGGTGGTGCATTTTTTCGTGTCGTCAAGAACGACTGGGCTGAGACCATCAACTCACTATGCATCTGAAACCTGAATTTGAACCCAGCGAACTGAATGTGTCTCTGACACAGCCATCATGAACCCACAAATTTATACAAGCATGTATGTTGGAACTTCTTTTGCACCATACGTAGTCAGCCGTGCTAATCGGACGTGTCTAGTTGAAACGGGCGAGGCGTGTGTTACCTCCGTCGCTATGCCGCGCCAGGTCGCTGGCACTGATGTAGAGGTCGTGGTCGGTGTCCAGCTCCCAGAACTTGCAGTAGATGACGTAGAAGTGCTCGTACGAGAAGTACTCTGTCACCTGGTTGATGTCGTCTTCTTCCGCCACCAGCGCCAGCGTCTAGCCACGTCACGCAGCATGGCGGTGGAGGCAGAAGGAACAAAAAAATGGTTCTGAGGTTAGTGCATCGTGCCGAGCCTTTTGCTGGCCACTTGCCGCGCCGGTAATCGACGCAACAAGCCGGCGGATGAAGCAGTTCCCTTGTAAAACACAGCATGTTGTAAGCTTAACAATTGATTTTAATTAATCAATGTGTAGTGGTTTAACGCGCGCCAAGGGGGATAATTGTAAACACGTGCGGGTTGGGGACAGTAGGGGCCTATCGTATCGGGACATGCTGGTGGGACAACGGCTGGACGGAGACGGCCCGTTAGGCAATTATGGGATGCAGGGCAGTGATTGGCCGGTTGTTGTTGTTGTCAGGAACAAGGTGGCGCCTGTAAGTCTGGGAATGAGAACAGGTGGCGGTGGGGGGCCGGGGGAGTGGGGCGTTGGGGGGACGCCAATTAATTAATTGTAAATTAATGAGAGTAAGACGGGGAGTTGTGCTGGGAGCTGGACGGAGACGGTCGGAGCAGAAGAAGAAGCCATGAGAAGAAGTGTAGGGTAGCAGTGGAGTAGAAGAAGAAGTGTAGGGTAGCGGTGGAGGAGAATAAGAAGTGTAGAGTAGCAGTGGAGTAGAAGAAGTACAGGGTAGCAGTAGAGACGGAGACGAGGAAGAGATGAGAGGTAGAATACGGTAGCGGTGGAGCAGGGGAAGAAGAGGTGATGAGAGGACGGATAGGCTAGCAGTGGAACAGGAACGAGAGAGACAGTCGGAGTGAGACGGAGAAGTCGAGAGAGAGAGCAACGGCTGGAGTGGGGCGGAGAAGCAGAGAGGGGAGTCGGGAGAGACGGAGAGAGAGAGGGAGACGCGCTGGAGAGTGGTGGCGAAATGTGCTGAGTTTGGAAATAAAGTGACGACAGAAATGTAAGAAGTTGTCCGCGTAAAGTTCAGCACTACAAATGTATTAATCCTTACATCCATAATGGGGATAGTTGCACTGCAAAAGGTTGTGATGGTGATGCTTGTTTTGACAAAGATGATGATAGTGGTTGTAAAAGTTGGTGATGGTTATGGTGAATGTGATAAGTCAGTGGTGATTGGTGGTGGTAGTGCGGATGACAATGGCAATAACAATGTTTGTAGAGATGATAAAAGTTGCGGTTATGATTACTATGCTTATTGTGATATAACATTGATTTTATGGTGTTGATTATGAATAATTATTTTATGATAATAATGATTGTGATGCTAAAGACCATGATGACTAAGGTGCTGCTACTGATGATGAATGTGATGATGATTGTGATGTTATTTACTTGAAGGAAGTTACTTCTCCTGAGCTCGTTAACTGTAATTCGTCCACTCCACGATCGGTTGACTGTGTAAAATATTCTTTGGATAACCTAGGGATATGAACACAGACATATGCGCACACACATAAACTTATCTGCACGTACACACACGTGATTGCAGGTGCATACACGCACACACACACATACATGCACACACGCATATATGCACACCCAGATAACAGCAGTGTATAAATACATCATCATAAAAACATGTATACATACACACACAATCATAAGCATTTTGATTTAAAGCTTTCGTGACTGCAGAGATTCATATTCTTGGTTCTTTTGGTAAAGTCACGAAGAAGGAAAATAAAAAAATAATAAAATTTATCACGACGTTTCAACTGCAACACAAGCAATCGTCATCAGGTGTGAAATCCACAGCAAGAAAATAGAGAATTTTTATTATTTTATTATTTCCCTTCTACGTGACTTTACCGAAAGAACCAAGAATAATCATAAGCATCAGTCACCCTGGTCAGTTAACCCATAACATCTGGGTGTGTCCTGTGACCTGTTGCACAGGTGGTGTGGTGGTGTCACCAACACTTAGTGGAGAGTGGCAACTGTTATTCGTTTTCGTGTGTGTACGTGTGCATGTGTGGGGAGTGGCAGTGCAGTGGTTAGCGCATTCCGCTACGAACTCGCTCACGGCCAACATCGGTGACAATTATCTGAATTGGTCCTGGCCCTCGGCTAGGTCGACTCAGTGGCGAAATGTTAACAACCCTGACACCTTCTTGGTTCTCACGTAGAATGTGACTTTACCTAAAGAACCAAGAAGATGAATCCCTGCAGTCACGAAAGCTTTAAATCGAAACCCTGACACCGGTATATTTGGAGTTTGCACGTTCTCCCCAAGGTTGTGTGGATCTTTCTCCGGGTCCTCCGGTTCTTTCCTTCACATTTAGAAGCATGCATTTAGAGTATTTGACTGCTATAAATTTCCACACGATAAGCCACTTCGTTGAGCTATCATTTGTGGCCAGGTCGCTTCTGAAAAAGAGCTGTATATCTAAGTGGACCTTACCTGGTAAAATCAAAAATAGTTTAGTATAGTTTAGTGAGTACTCAGCCTTAATTGAGTAACTGGTGCGGTGTATAAACATCAGCATGGAGGATACAAAGGTGGTTGTGCGTGCTGCTGGCTACATCACCCCCTCGTGTGCCATGTCGGCCTTCATAGGTGCTCGCTCATAGCACTTGTCCCAACAGTCCGTTAAAGGCTACACAGGGGATATTTGTGTGCATGCCCGTGTGTGCCTTACCGTAGTTATATAACGCGAGTGAAACTCTGGAGCTTCTTTTAGAAACGCCAGCCCTGGATGAGTGTCCACAATGTCCTAGAATACATGAAAGCACTCGCCATCATCATCATCATCACCAGGGTTGAGATTTTGTGTCGTTTTACACGAGGCTATCTTGAACTAGGTTTTTTTCTGCATCGTTAGCACAGTTTTATAGCCTGAAAAGGGTGAATGTAACATTTGTTAAGTTCTTACAAAGCCCACAATCAACCTTTGTTCCAAGTCGCTCCTTCTCAGTTTCTGCTCTTGTTGTCTGGAATTCACTTCCTCTTGAAAGTCATGCAAGCTTTGCCCTTGTTCAAGTTAAGACTGAAGACCCATTTGTTTTCATGTGAATTTAGCAACAAAAAATATCTTCCCCCTGTAAAGTGTTTGGATATGAAGTTGCACTTAGATGCAACATAAATTATTTTGTATATAATTTGCACATGCTGTATATAATCAGCTCTGATGCACGTGATTCAATGCACGTATCCTGAGCATAAGAATCGATTTAAATTTATGAATCAATGCATCACTATATGTTTCATAGCTATCATCATCATAAATATCATATACAACCCTCGCTACCATCATCATCGTCGTCGTCGTCATCATCTCCAGTTGAGTTGTAGAAGTGGCCAGGTTTCTCAAGAGGTTAGAATGTTGAGCGAGCACCGCTGAGACCCTCGGTTTAAAACACATTCCTGCGGAGGGAGCTGGTAGGAACGTTGGGTTGCTCAGTCAATGGCCAGGGTCAACGGCGGCGTAGTGTATTCCGCAAATATGGCCGACTGTGAGGGCGGGCACAAGCCGGCGTGAGTAGGTTAAACGTTGAGTTTTATAAGGGCACCACGGGGTGACCAGCCCCACCCCTCCCACCCCCCACCCAGCCCCACCCTCCCCTCCCCACCCTCCCCACCCAGCCCCTCCCCACCCTCCCCTCTCCACCCAGACCCACCCCTCCCAATTTTGGATGCACGACGGACGGACAAAATAATCCCCTGTGGGCTGGTGGAACCAGGTAGTTCCTACCAGTATTATAGTCTATGATTTAAACCGAGGGTTCTCAAGTGTAGAGAGTTAAAGGTCTCAGCCCAGTCATCAATGACTGCACAATAAAACCCATCACAGTGAATTTGGCTCGATACCTAATTTGGCTCAATGCCAGCTGGGAAAATAAAAAAAATATCGTTTTGATCGTAATGTGACAATTTCAACGAGCGTTACTCTCTGTAGCAAGGTGACTCTGAATATGTCGCCCCTGCTGTGTGGACCACACGTCATTTGAATAGATCTCAGAAGTAGCTCTGTGTTATCCGCTTCCGCACCTGCACAAGGGGGATGAAGTCTTCCTGGGTGAGTCCAGCCATCCCGGGCCGAGCCAGGAGCGACACGAACCTCGCCGCGTCATCCTCACTCGCTTGCGTCACCCTGTGGTGGACAAGTTGCGCTAAGGCTCACTCGCTCGCTCACTCACTCACTCAAATAGACACGTACAATCGCCAACTCACACACACACTTATACATTCTCGCTCACTCAGTCGCTTACACACACAATCACTCATACACACACAAAGATCCCCCGTACCGCCTTAAACAGACTTTTGGGGCAAGTGTTGTTAGCGAGCTCCTTTGAAGGCTGGCATGGCACACGAGGTGGTGGATGGCCAACACCACGCTCGGCCGCCTTTGTCTCCCCAGTGGTGATGTTTACACACCACACGAGGTACTCATTTGAGGCTGAGTCGACCTAGGGGAGGTCCATGACCGATTCAGATAATCGTCACTGTTGTTGGCCGTGAGCAAGAATCGAACTCGATTAGCGCAATGCGCTAACCGCTACACTATCGCTCCCCACACTCACACACACACAATCGCACACGTACTCACGTACACGTTCACACACACGCACTCATGCATACCCTCAACGACTCACTCATACACACTCAACCACTTACTAACTCACTCCCACGCTCACACTTGAACACAAACCCATACGCAAAAATACACTCGTCCCCGTCACCTTATGGTGGACGATGTGGCGAGGATGGGCGCTCAATTGGTCTCTCATACACACGCCCATACACACGTTTCTTCTCACTCATTTGCGCTCTCACACTTTCGCATATACACACTTGTTTTGCCAACATCGCAAATATCGCTTGCTTGTGCACAAGATTGTACCCATGTGCATACTTGTAATCGTCTTAAGCGTGGCACGTAATAATAATTTAGATTTGGTATTTGCGCCATTCTCATTACACGGGGCTATTGTGAAGTCACTAAATGTAACTGATGCTGTATAGTGTGCCAGTTGGGAGCAATGTTGGTGCTGTGTGTAATCTCAATTGAGTACTTTTCAGATAATTTATTTAATTAGACCATGACAGCGGCACACAATGGCCTACTTTCTCCAAATGACATCACCGGATCTTTAACAGCCCTTGTTACGCCTAGTGCATGCTGGGTATGCGAGTCTTCATTTATTGTGGTGAATTTTGGGAAGGCGGGACCCTGTTTGAGCCCACTGCATGCTGGGAAGTTGAGCAGCCCTCACCGTAACCAGGTCAGGGTGAAGGTTTCCATGGTAACGAATCCAGTCTCCTCCCCATGGGCAGCGAGGAAGAGGGCAACTCTCCAGTAGGGGCAGCACCTGCACGCCTGCACACCTCGCCACAACGGGGAAAGCTCGTCAGCCAGGGTCCATCCATTGCTAGATGGAGGCCTCCCCATGCCGTTGCCATCCTGCAAGGTCTTGTGACACTATAATCCCGCTTGCTCTTGCGCATGGATACCATTCCATTGCTAGTCTCGTTCGTCAGCCATCGTCGAACCTTCTAGCCATAATGTGACCTACCCAAGACCACTTAAATTTTTTTAGCAGTTGTCAACATGTCTCTGATTTGTGCTCTCATATTCATGCATTCATCTTTCTTTCCATTGAATTGCCAACACGAGTCTCTCCATGATTCTTTCGCAGCACAGCACACTAACTGCGATACGACCGCTCCCCATATACAGTGAACACACACAAACACACATGGACACAAAGTTCCCACTCCAAAACTCACTATACACATCCTCCATGGCCCAGGGAATGCTCAATTTTAACATTCAAAAGTGCAGTAGATACTGACAACGATGTACAAAAAACAAAGACACGCGTGAACATGTATGGACATACACAAATAGAACACATCGACCCGTCAGCGCACCTTTGTGACATCCGTCATGTTTTCCAGATAGGCTCTCCCACCAGGCAGGGCTCCGAAGACCTCCTTCAAAGCAATCATCACCCCACTCAGATCCTCATCACTGCTAGCTCCACCGCCACCTCCTTTGCCAAATCTTTCGCCTTTGCCGACATCATCGTCACTGGATAGCAAGCTCGCGTGAAAACCCACAGCGGACTCCGCATCATGAAGCGAAACTCCAGATTCCAGATTCCGGGTTTCGTAACCGGGACGGAGACTGTTTGAATCCGGTGCAGGAGGCACAGTGGATGAGATCACAACAACGGCGCCGGCAGCACCCCCCTGCTTCTCCACTCCCTCCCGGCCTGGACTCGCCGGCTTGGGGACTTGTGCAAAGGCGATCGGAATTTGCAAATCTGGATCCGGGCTGTTTTGAACCACCGCAGCTGGTGGTGGTGGTGGCGACGGCGGAGGTGGCGCTGGTTCGGAGATGAGGACGCTCTGTGGCGTCGGCCCCCGCGAGTTCCATCCTCGCAGCGCTGGAGCTGGGGACTTGCGCGTCGAGGAGACTGGAGTGTGAGGAACGGATTCCCCAGGGCTTCTGAAAGAGCTGAGGCTGTGAATCCGGGAGCTCGGAGGGTGTGGGTCAGGATCCGGAGCATGCGGGAGGTGATTGTGCAGGACCGGTTCGGGTTTTGACTCCTCTCGGGTTTCCTGTGCATGAGGGAAATTCAGAGATACACATACGTCAACATCACTGTAATCGCTGTTGCCATCATTATCATCATATAATCGTTGTGGTCATCATTACAACCAACAAAATGTTCATCGTATAATTGTTGTCCTCATCATAACCACGATTGTCGTCATAGCATTATATCGTCAGCGCTGTCATCTCCACATTTATAATTGGAGTCTCACGAGACGCAGAGAGCGCTGTTTAGCAATCATCAGGTTTGTGCAACGTGTTACAGCTCAATTTTGTAAAGGTGGAAAGACAAGCCATGATGGTGAGTTACAAGGAATAACGTGTGAAAAATCCTGCATTGGTCAAACCGGCCGGGTGTCGCCATGTTAAGTTAGCTCTTCTCACAAAGGAAAAACTTGTAATTTCGAACCCAAGTCAACCTTCAACCCAGCCTATTATCATCATCATCATCCCTCTGGTTCACTAAAATTAGTAGGAACAGGTTGTGGAAACACCAGCCCCCATCGTACGAACGTGGAACATGCAAAAAGTTTCCCGTTAAAACCCAGGATAAAGATCAACCCAGCCAATCATCATGACCATCATCATAATCCCTCCCGTTCTATAAATAAATTGAGTACCACTTTGTGGAAAAACCAACCCCCACCAGAGGACTGTGGAATTTCCACCGCTGGCATGGGGCTACAGAGATGGTATGCTGCCCCACACTCATTTGCGGAGCGAGACACATACATCTTCTTGGTTCTTTTGGTAAAGTCACGTAGAAGGGAAATAATAAAATAATAAAAATAAAACATAATACAATTCTATTATTATATTAATATTTCATTGTTTTATTTTTATTATTTTATTATTTCCCTTCTACACGACTTTACCGAAAGAACCAAGAAGATGAATCCCTGCAGTCACGAAAGCTTTAAATCGAAAGAGACACATACACTTCACAAGTTTTGACTCATCAGCAGACGGTCGTGATGGGCACGCTACTGAGCATTGATTCAAATTTATTCTCGTACTCGTGACACGCAACGAATCGTGCGTGCATCAACTGCACACACGAAATGGAATTTTTTTTAAGAAAAGCATTACAAACAAGAGATGCTAAAAACGAGACTACCAAACAAAATCCAACAGAATCATCACCCCAAATCGTAACAATTCATCGAATCGCTAGCAGGGAGGGGGGGGTGGGAATCGGTATATGGCTAACGCACTTATAGCTGGCCTCTATTTCTCGGTGAATCGACTAAAATTAGCAATGAGTTCTGTTTTTGCAGCAGATTACTCGGGCCCCTTTAGAAATGTCGACTGGTCTGCATCCTGCCCCTCCCCCGAAGTCAAAAAACCTCCTACGAGACACACCTCGCGTGACGTGGCTGATGATTACGATGGCGTCACAAAACGCTGCCCACCACCACCTCCTGTCCAGTGCCACATGTGGTGACAGAAGTGACACTTTCCCCACTCCTCCCCCCAAAACTATTTCATGCTGTCCAATGAGTTGAGTAGTCGAAGCCATAATTGGTCGGGGAATGGTTTACTTAAATAATAAACAACCCAGCTCTACGATACATTTATGCACACAGGAACCTTCCAATGCCTTGCAGTGTGAGTGCCAGCGCAATTAGGGTTGTTTGTTTAGCATTTTTGATAATCGCACGCAATTCATCTTTTTATTTATTGACGAGCTATTAGTTTGCCGACCATATTGAAATGTTGATTGAAAAGTCCAGCCCTGTGTGTGTGTGTGGGCGAGTCTGTTGGAATGTACCACGAGGTCAATGGTGAGCCCTGCCACTGGTGCCTTATGACGTTATAACACGCAGTGTGATTTGAACGTTTGCGCGCGAGTGTGCCAATCGGTTCGGTTGTTACTACAACTGAACCGGATTCTATCATCGATTCTGTGACTTTTGTAATGGAAGAGATTCTGAATACAATTAATGAAAATTCTACTGTCAATGAACGTGCCGATTAGAGAGTGCCTATTAAGGACCACTGTGAATTAATATATTGACCCCCATAGAATTCTGAACCTGGGGTCAAAATACTACATATCATCCACGTCCCCTCCCATGGTAGTTTAACACTCCAGTCACTTTGGATCATTCTCCTATTCTCAAAGCTGTAATGAGGTTGAGCGTTAGCCTGTTAGTATTGTACCTTTAAATAGACAAAGGCTAATTTGAACAAGGTTGTTAGAAACCTTGGGTGGACACCCAAACCGTAACTGTAACCCTATATAGTATTCATACCCCACTGTGATCAGTTATCGTTTATATACTCTGGGGTCTAAATAATATATGCCTCCGGGTTATAAGATGCACTTTTCCCCCCCATAATATAAAGCAAAAGGTGGGGGTGCGCATTGTCATCCGGTTGGTGCATGTGTGTGCACTCATATTTGTGTAATTGTATTAACACGGGGCACAAGTTTTGTAATGAGTCTTCCTTTCCGGAAGCTCTTATAATCTGAAGAATCCATAGTGTTATGAGCCAAAGGTCAATATTCTATGGGGTTAAAACACGACCCCCCACCACGGCCGTGGCTATGTGTGCGGTGAGATGCACGCACCTCGGCGCTGCGACGTTGGTAGTTGACTTTGAGGCGACCCTTGATCCTGGACGGTAGAACGAAATCGCAGCCCCTCGCCAGCGTAGCCAACTCCCCCCTCAAGTCGGGGTCCTGCCTCAGTGACCGGACCCCCTGCACCGACTCCTCCTCCGCCCTGCCCGGCCCCCTAACCGCCCTCAACCCCGGCCCGAGGTCGGCAACCTCCGACCTGCCCAGGGCCGCCCCGCCCACCCAAAACGCGCCGTTCACCTTTGGCGGCCCGACCCCTGACCCACCGCCGACCCTGAGCCGGTCGGATGCCAGCACCCGGGGCTGTTGGGTCGCGGCCTCAGACCTCTTTAGCGCGGCCGCCCTCCAGTCAGGGCTGACCACAGAGCGGCCCTCACGCATCTCGCTACGCTTCGCCGGCGAAAGTATTTTTTCGTTGAGAATAATTATGAAAGTTACGGTGACAAGACGGCTGAAGCGAGGAGAGGCAAATCGAACGTTAACTTTGTTTACACGCAGTGAAAATGGAGCCGAGATCCTCGGAGACGCTGAATGTGAAGTGGGGTTATAGAGACTCGTGGTCTCAATGGGCTCTTAAGTTATAAATAAAGGTCATCTATCTAGGTCAAGACAAGGCACTATTAAAGGAACATCGGTCAAATTACACTAATGAATGCCCGGTTCACAAACTACCATTGTACAACTTTTCCAAAAAAGCAAATCTACCTATAACCTCAACCTTTTGACGAGTCTGTAAGGCGCTACTACCGACCACCATCAAATCAAATTACGTAAAAAAAACTCGACACATCCTTTCGAGGCACAAATATCAATGACAAGAACACGGACAGCGACACCGAGTATCAGTTACTGGCGCGCGTGAAGATTTTAATTAACGTTTGAAGCAAGGGGCCGTAAAATTGGGGAAAACTTTGACTGAGACCGCCTTTTCCGTGTACAAAAGCCCCCTTAACCTGTGTGACAATCTGCCTGCATGTTATTCAATCTTTAATTTCATAGCCGGCAAGTGGCTGTGGTTTCATCTGGTGTGAAAACACCGGACCTCTCCACACACCCGCGTTAAAAATCCTTCACCACGACAAGTGAGCTTTGCTTAAGCAAAGGTACAGCAAATTATTTGAAGCGCGGCTTCAAAGAAAACACACGAATGAATGCAGCATATGTTTATAGTATAATATTTACAAGAAAAGAAACGAGTTCAAGAGTAATTTTTTTACTCCACCACCCCCCCCACTCCCACCTCCCGGGACCTCACACTCCGCTATTTGACTAATAAATCCACTCCGCGTGCCAAGCGCTTAAATTCTCAATTTTCTAAACACAAACCTGACGTGTCCCTTTGACAGAAAATGCAACAAAAAACGCTAAAATCATTTAAAAGTACATTCTTTGCATTTTTTTTAAGCCTATGAAGTTTGAAGCACAAGTCAACCACGTACACACAAAGCAGAGCCCACGGAGTTACGTAACTGCGCCGCCACAGCACCGACACGCTGCTCACAGCTATAAAACCAAAAGCGAAGGAAGGGAGAATCACTTATCGTGAAACGCGGTTATTTGAAGTGAGGACGAGTCGCCTTTCCCCATGCGAAGCGCACGACCGATCGCTGCCGACACTCATTGACGCTGCTCTGGAAAGATTGAAATTCAGATGAAATGGCATCACAGTTAATCTTATCTCAAGCACCGATCCATTTTGGTTCACGAGTGAGCTTACGTCCCTTGGCTGTGTATCCATGCGTGCGTGCCTGTGTGTGTGCGTGTCTGTCTGTGAGTGAGTGACCCACCAGCCTACGTAGGCTATGTGGGGGATCTTTGTCTTTGTGTTTTGTAAGTTTTGTGGGTTTAAGTGTGTAGCTGTATGTGCGTGTGGGTGGCTATGCATGCATGTATTTGTAAGTGAGTGTATTTGTGTGTGATTTGTTTGTGATTCTTGTCATTGTGTGTGCATGTGTGTGATTGCACGTCTGTACACGTGGCTGTGTGATTGTGTATAACTTTGTGTGTATGTGCCTGCTACGGTGGATATGTGCGTGCCCGTTCAATCACTTTTGTGTAAGTATCTTTAAGTGTATGGCTATTAGTGTATCTCTATGTACATGTGTGGGTGTGTTCAAGAGATGTGTATGTGCCATTGTATGTTTGTACAAGTGGCTGTGTGAAGGCATGTGGCTGTCTGCATATTGGGTCTCTGTATGTGCCTGTGTGCGTGTGATTTTGTGTGTACGTGTCTGTGTCTTGTGCATGCACATGTGGGTGGTTGTGTGTTTGTGTACGGCTGTATCTTTGTGTTTGTGACTATGCATATGTATGGTTGTGTGCGTGCGTGCAAGTATGTGCACGTGTAGGTTCCAGCTAACTCCAGTTGCACCCAAAGTCTATCAGCTTTGTGCATGTATACGTATTGAAAATTGCGTGTAC